CTCTGCCCTTTCCAGCCAGCCCTCCCGGAGCCTTGGACCCCTGGTCTGCCCGGAGCGGCTGTGGTTCGGAAGAGACGTGTGTAAGTGGTGGTGTGCACGGCTCGGTCGGGTGTGCATAGCAGACCGAAAAGAGTTGAGGGGGGAGAGAGGCAAGGCCACGGCAAGGCAAAAAAGGATGCAACAAGGTACCCCATCCGCATAGAAAGCAGTCAAGCCCCCAAGGCAAAATGGGAGCAGGTGCCGTGGCCGGGTTCATGGTTGGTTGGACCCTGAGATGAGTGGCCGCGCAGCACAGCCGGACGCCAGCAACTCGACGTGCCGATCGAATCCAATGCGGGGTTTAGTTCAAAGGTTGACAGGGCCTTATTACACCTCGACAACTCTGAGCTGCGACATGGGACTCTGGGGAAAGGATGCGCAGCCTCTGTGTGTCTCTCCTCTCGCTCTCGTCCTCCTCCTAGCGGGCGAATGACAGGCCAACATGACCGCACACACACACACCCGACCCTGATGAGGCCTGACGTAGGTGTCAAGGAGCGTGCGCACGAGCCAAGAGAAAAAAATAAATGCAGGCGTGGAACGGGAGGGAAAAGCAAAAGAATGCGTTTGGGCAAATGCGACTTCGGCGGGACATCCTAATCATGGATTTCTCTTACCCTCGGCCATCGAGTAACACTTTCAACAACACCACGCTTCCGCCCTCTGTCCGGCTCTTACACTTTCTGCCAAGACCCGCACGCCCATACCCTTTCTCGCCGGCAGGCTCCGGGGTTCGGCGGGTGAAACACAGCGCTTGGAGATGCACAGATGGGGAGGAGGTCGTTTTTTCTTTTCTTCCGTCGTCTGGTGGGATGGCAACCACCTCGACACCCCATCCGGCCGATTCTTCCATGGACTATCCTGGCTGGTTCCCTCGTCAGCAGGATGGGCTTCCATTTGCTGCCAGAGATGCGCAAGTGAGGCACGACGCTACGCCCGACGCAGTTGTCTTCCATCAAGCCAACAAAACATGGAGCTACCCAAACACGGTACTATGTATGACAGCTCGCAGAAACTTCGAGAGAGCTCTAGCTCCCTAGCTCCCCAGCTCCCCAGCTCCGACCATGCCGGCCTCGTTCTCTGCATGCACGCGGCCGGGGGAGGGGAGAGATGAAGTGGGTGTGGGAAAGGACTCTGCAGTTCGTCTCACAAGCTTTTTGCAGCAGGTAACGTGCGGTTTCCGGCTTTCCACTTCCAGTGTTCCCCCACGTCGACTGGGCTGCAAGCTCCGCTGCACGAAAGCTGCAGGGAGCTTGACGGGGGCGAGGGTTAGGGGAAAGGGTGTCGGGGGGAAGACAGGGGAGGTTCGGTCTGCCAGTTGGGTATTTGGGCCCATCGCGGGGGTGCCCTCTTCCATTGGATGGAGAGGGTCTATTATGCAAATGCTGGGGAAATCGAAATGCAAACCGAGCTAATGGAAGGGCCCCGATTACCATGCAGCACGATGTGGAGAGGCAGACATGGAAGACGGAGGGGGAGCACTCGGGGGAGGGAGGGGAGAGACACAGGATGCAGCCAACAGCCGCCGGGCTATTCGGATTGAAAGCCGGGGATGGGCTTCTGTAGACGAGATGAATGCGGGCGAGACTTGTTGACTCCTTGACCGGAGGTTTGGAGCTTGTCAGTCTGACGATCCAACTACCTGACCGGCCGACCCTCGCTCCGCCCGCCCAATCCAGTCTTGACGGGCTCCAGGAGGAGGGCTGGCTGATGACCTTTGCAGGTGCCTAGAAGGGTAATAATCGTGCATCCGCTATAGGATATGCCCAACCGTCACTCAGCTCCCTTGATGGCGCCCTCCTTCTACCCCGCAACATGGGCAGGATCGACTCGACTGAGATCTCCCGAATCCAAACGGTCAGATGCATCCAGGGGACGGCTCGGAGGCGGAGGGTGAAGGGGGGTGAAAGTGGAAAACCTGGGGCAAGAATGGCAGCCTCTCACAGGCTCAGCAGTCGCAACAGTCCTGCGCCATGCGAGCTACGGATGTCAACGTTCCCAGCATGGTTTGGGGTACCTCTGCCCTCCGAAACTTTGAGGGTCGCGCTGATTTGTCGAACCATCAAGGGTGGTGGCGGGTTCCAAGCAAAATGCCCACGGGTGACGGGGGTTGGCAGGAGTATCGCCAAAAATATCTCCTGGTCGGGCAACAACCCACAGAACAGAGGCACCTCTCAATGTGAAATGACCAAAAATAAGGACAAAGAAATAGAGAGAGGATGGGGGCCTTCAATGCGGCCTAAGGTGGTGCATCAGCCCGTGCTGGGAAACATCGACTCACTGGACAGCCCACCGACCCGGAGCTCGATTCATGACGCCAAACGCTGGTGGAGAAGATGCAAACCGGCGATGTCCGTTGGGTGGGGCCTCTTCCCGGATCTCCCCCGTCGTCAAACGGGCCGTCTGTTGCAACCAGGCGAGCACATATGAGAGCGAGGCATCCGGCACTGGCCACCAACAGGCAATGCTGATGGAGATGACGCCCCCGGTCTCCTCGTTCCAGAGGCGCTTCGCGAAAAAAGGCCAGGTTTGCCAGGGTGGAAGGGCGAGGCGAAGACACTCGGGTGTTGTACGGTACACGTCCAGAAACTGCGCCGATAGTTTCCTTTTTCCAACGGCGGGCCTTTTTTCGTGATTCTTTCGTCACGATCAGATGGTGTCTCATTCATTCTCTGTACTGTACAGCGGTCTCTCCACAGACGAATGCGTTCCTTTGCATCTTGTGCGGCCCGGGTGTAGTGCTTCTTGGCGAGAGGCAGTGAAGCGCCGTGGCACAGACAGATGACGATATTAGTAGAATGTCCAACGCTTCTTCGCCTGGAGGTCCTGGAGCACACGTAACAAAGTGAGCAAGTGTCTCAACCATGTTGTTAGAATCTCACAATTCCGATTGCTCGTCCACTTTCGTTGATAAACCCTGTGTTTGTCTTCATCCGTCTACGTCAGAGGATCAAGGCACCCTCCTAGGGCAACCAAGTTGATGACGATGCGCAACGACGTTGAGCCCAACCCCTCCTTGACTCCCCAGCGATGTTACGGTCCCTGACAGGCGACAGCCGGGCTAAACGACACCAACTTCAGGCGCCAGGTCTGTAACTGTCGCCGGAAATGACCAAGCGGCGCCAAGGCCTCGGTACTCCAGCCTAGCTCTTCGTCTCTCAGAGTCACACCCTCTTGTTCACCCACTCACTTGTCTCTTCCCCCAACCCAACACCCTCAGCTATGACGCAAATGTTTCTGCCAAAGAGTTGAACGCACGTGAAACTCTAAAAAGGGGGCGGCGGCAGGGTCCCTTGTGGGGACAGAGTTGCGCTCTGGGGGAACGGCGGCCATCCCTGTCCTGCATATTGAGAGGGGGTTCTCAATGCGACACATTGTGGGAATGAGAGGCTGTGCTGCGCCGCTGCACAACGCCTGTTAGACGAGCGAGAGTCCTAGCGAGCTCATTTTCTGCTGTTGCAAGGCATGATTGCCAATCGCGCCCATCCTGGCACAATAGGACGGACCCCTCAAGTGGCAAGGGGACGCTATGAGGCCGTTTGAAGGGAGGTCGAGTTTCGCTACGGTCAAGGCTCCACGCACCCAATAGAGTCCCTCCCAAGACTCTCGTTCGATTTCTTGCAGTTCGAATTATGTTTTCTTGACTGTCTGTGGGATCTGTGAGCATGAGACGACGGATGAAGCTGCGGGGTGTGTTGGTTGGGTACTGCTGCTGCGGCAGCCCGTCTGACATGAGCGGCACTTTGAGTCACAGGCCGCCAGCGGCCAAGGGTACTTTCACGAGCAGCGGAATAGAGCCAACATGAACGCAACTGGAATAGCGGCGACGACGGTGATGAAAGGAAGAGACAATAGCATAGACGAAGCTGGGCCTTGGTGTCTCCTCCAGAGAGGATTGGCTGGCTCTTTATGTGGCCGTATGACTGTCCACCGACAGCGCTCGCCTCCCTCGCAAAAGAGGCTGAGGCGGATGGGGTTCGCCGATGGCTGTGAGGCTGAGCGACCCGACGGCCGCTTCTAGCCCCGGGGCTCCATAGAGAGGCATTGCTCCCATCTCATTACACACAACCAACAGGTTCCCGGTGTTTTGGTTCTTGGGACAGACTCTGCCTTGGGGTTTGCCCAAACGCCTGCGCCAAAAAAGGCCCGGCACCGGGGCGCCGGCCTCGGGCTGGCTCCGGTGACAAACAATTTCTGTCCCCACCAAAGTCCAGAACCAACATTGCGGGAAGGGCGATCTGGCCAACACTGCCTTGAATGGGCGCAAGCTTTGGTAAAGTAGAGTTCGCGAGGGGAGTTTGCCTTTAGGCAGACGCGCCTGACTTCGGATTAGTCGAGTTGAGTAAATGAATAGCGCCAGTTGCCATTGGCCAACGTTCGCTGGTCGAGGGAGTGAGATGTGAGTTGGCCTCATCCTTCCTTCGCGGCGAGCCGGGGTGTCTGACCGCAACAGCCCCTCCTCGACGGATCTCACCAGAGGCCAGAGAGTGAATCAATCGTGAGGCTGTTTGTTTTATAAGTTAGATATATTTGTGCTACCTTCATGATGCACACCTTTTCAATATCAGCATTCGTTTTCGATCCTCAGTCAACTTAGCACTTCAACTCAAGCTTGCCTAGAACATCACGGCACAACTTTCACAATGGTAGGTGATATTGAGATAATCACAGAAATCTTCCACTGACACAGGCTTAAGGTCAGAAAGTGGTTTTCCAAAAGCTCTTCTGAGAGCGCCTCGCCCCCTGTATCGCGTGTAGACTCGGTCAAATCGGACTTATCAACATGGACGGGCACCAGCACGGTCCAGGGAGACGGCCCCTCTGAAGACATTGTCCTCTCCATCCACCCGCTTCCCTCACAAGATGGCCTCATTGCCAAAATCACTCCCCCAAAACGGCCCGCCAAGCCCATCGGCCATGTGCCCTGTGACATCGTCCTGGTCATCGACGTGTCGGGCAGCATGGGCGCCAATGCGCCAGTCCCTGTCAACCCTGGCGAGAAGACTGAGAACTACGGCCTTTCGGTGCTTGACCTAGTCAAGCATGCCGCCCGTACCGTCCTGGAGACCATGGGAGATGAGGACAGACTAGGGATCGTGACATTTGCATCCAAGGCCAAGGTCGTGCAAAGGTTGATGCCCATGAACAAGAAGAACAAGACGATCGCGGAGAAGAACATCAATGGCATGAGACAGATCGACGCAACGAACCTATGGCATGGTTTGATGGAGGGTATTAAGCTGTTCAACACGGGCGGCGAGAAGAATATGGGAAGGGTCCCCGCTCTGATGGTCTTGACGGACGGGATGCCGAATCATATGTAGGCCATGCCCTTGCTCTTGATCCCTTGGCAGGTTATTGCTGGAGACTAACGGTTTTGCAGGTGCCCGATCCAGGGATATGTCCCCAAGTTGCGTGGCATGGAACAGCTGCCTGCCTCGATTCACACTTTTGGTTTTGGATATTCCCTCAGATCCGGTCTGCTGAAGTCCATTGCCGAGATTGGTGGTGGAAACTACTCCTTCATCCCCGATGCTGGCATGATTGTAAGCACACAGGCCCCTACAAGCTCCTCTCTGTTAGCTAACCTCACCACTAGGGAACTGTCTTCGTCCACGCCGTGGCCAATTTGCAGGCAACCTATGCTATTAACGCCACCTTGCACCTGAACTATCCTGCTTCCATCGACCTGGAGGAGACAACTGGCGATTCTGTTGTCAAGCAAGAGGCGCTGACACTTCCCGATGAAGACGGCGCCAAGCAACTCTCGATATCTCTAGGAAACATTCAGTACGGCCAATCACGAGACATTTTCCTCAACGTCACAGCCCCCAAAGGCCTTGCAGCAGAAAAGTCGACCATCAAGGCAGTGGTCGAGTACTCCCGGATGACCAGCAACACCTATAAGCAAACAGCCGAACAATCTCTTCAAACTCCGACAACCCTGCCCGAGTCCGAAATCGCCTACCACCTCTCTCGCTCTCATATCTGCTCCATTCTCTCCTCCATCATCCCTATCCGCGACGACGGCGAACACGAGGCCATGAATGACATATCGCCCGAGATGTTGGAACAATTCCAAAACCTCATCAAAGGCCTCCCCGCCAACAAGTTCCCGTCCGATCCCCAGAACAAGTCTCTCATCGAGGACCTTGTGGGCGAACAGCCAAAGGGGCAAATTTCTCTCGCCCTGACAAGGCCGGACTTTTACATCAAATGGGGCGTTCACTACCTTCCGTCCCTCCTCAACGCACACACTCGCCAAATCTGCAACACTTTCAAAGACCCCGGCCCGCTTCAATATGGAGTTCACAGCCCTCTCTTCATTGCCTGCAGAGATAAATTGGACGCGGCGTTCGACAGCCTGCCCGCGCCGACGCCTTCGAACCAACACATGGCAACCCATCACGGACGAGTCGTCATGAGCTCGTACAACAGCTCGTCTGGCGTTTGCTTCGTCTCATCCACCCCAGTTCGGCTGGGTTCAGGTAAGACGGTCCCCATCAAAGCTCTTCGACGGGGCGTCGCGGTACAAACTCCCTCGGGTCCGCGCCGGGTCATCGCCGTGCTCAAGACGCCGGTGCAGAGGGAGATCATGTGCCGTGTTGGAAGCCTGGTCGTCACGCCTTGGCACCCGCTTTCCCTGAACGGGGGCAAGAGCTGGGTTTTCCCTGCCAACGTTGCGGATCGCCCGGTGAGGTATACGGGGTGCATCTACTCTGTTCTGTTGCAGCCGGATCAGGACTCCAATGCACATGCGCTGAACGTCGCTGGTGTTTGGGGTGTCACTCTGGGCCATGGGCTCGTTACCGGACGGGATACAAGGGCGCATGGGTTCTTTGGTGACTACAGCAAAGTTATTACAAGTTTGAGGGCGATAGGCCTAGACAGGAAGGGCGTAGCTGTTGGCGGAGGTGTGAGCAGAAGCCCGAGGACTGGTTTGGTTTGCAGCTTCAAGTCGCACAGCAAACGGCCCATCTTCCAGAACAGGAAGAAAGTTGTCTCTTCTATTGTTTAGTTTGCTTCCTAAGAATCTGGATTTGGGACGAATATAGTGAGATTATCTGAAACAGCTAATCTCATCAAATATCAAAAACTTATGCCCTAAAAACATTCGCTATAGTCTCATGATGCTTTCAAAAGGCTACTCATCATAGGCGACAACTCCTCCGGAGCTTGAGTTTGGCCGCCTTGTTCGAAATCAAATATGGTCTCCCCAAGGAACTAACTCATGGTGGCAACGAGCTGTCGTTGTGCAACTTCAGTACAGGCGTGGTTCGGATTCTAAGTTATGCAGCGCATTTATCCTATGCGACAATGGACTGTACTGTTCCTGACATGTATGGTGCGGTTCGTGTTTAAGCTGATGTTCTAGACACAGCTCAGGGCTTTGCATTACTTCGAATTCACTCCGAGCAAGTCTCTCATATGCCAGGGCCTATGCGCATACAGTGTCTTGAATACTGCGCCGCAGGGGTACAATTTTGCAGAAATACCCTGAAATACTACAAATTTGGCTCGGGTGCATCCTTATTCTTGGTTTTGCGAACTCTGTGGGAACACAAGAAAGTCCGTCATTCCTTCCAGATTCTTGCCAGGTGCTTTTGTGAAGTGCAAAAAGTTAACTAGGCCCTGGCCAGGGATCGAACCTGGGACCTCTTCCAAGGTAATGAATGATCAAGAACCCTAAGGAAGAATCATACCGCTAGACCACCAGGGCAGATGATGGGTGTGATGATTGTGTATCACTGCTGTGGATGTTGACGTGAAAATTGTGCCATATGCATCCTGTGGGCTGTGGAGTCACGAAGCCCTCATTCTGGTAGGGCTAGTCGCAGCAAGGCTCGTTGAATGTGGTCCCCTGCCACTTACCGACAATGAGTATTCGGTCTGCTGAGACCTGTTGTGGAAGCTTGGGTCGTTGACAATTCTAAGTCTGTCCATTCGCCTAAGGAAGAAGCCGATGCGACCTAAACTGCAGCACCTATCCAACCCTGTGCCTTGGCCCTGATACCATCAGGCGTGACCGGCGTGGGGCTATTCGCTATCAATCCATTTCGTTGGGTGCTCAGAAGAAATTTGCCGATGCCGATGCCGTTGCTTGCCGTACGCCCGAAGAAGCCAGCTAACTTCCATTTCGTCTCACAGTTGAAGCCTTCCTCAAACGAATTCAGGTAGACCAAAGCCATGCCTATCGGTAACGGCGCAGACTGTATCCCAAAAGTGCCCGCTGAAGGATGGAAAAAGACATCGACAATGTCGGCGATCTTGGTGCAGTAGAGGAGGGGGTCTGTCCGCTCGGGTAACTCCAGACTGGCCTGTTCACCGACTGCAAGACGGAGAGTGCTGTAGGACAAGAGTGCTATCGTCCAGCTCAAAGCCATGACGGAAGCAACGACGACATCGCAGGCTGATGGATTGTCGAGACCTCTTTTCATGAGCCCCTCTAGCTCATGTTTAGGACTAAGGTCATCCAGCCACCGGTTGAGCTCTTCGTCAATATGCCAGCACTCCCTGACGAGCCTGACGCGCCTTGACTCTTTCTCGGAATTATCCTTGCATCTCCTCAGAGAATCGAGGTCTTCGAGAAGGCCAGGAACGTCGACAAAGATATCGATCAAGACGTCTTTCGACGTTTTGGGAACTTTTTGCCATGGAACGGTCTTCCAAGCAGGGTGGCTGAGCGGACATCTGCGTCTGCGCTTGATATGGGTGATGACCTACTCGGCCAGCATTAGCAGGACTACATACAAGTGCGTCGAGCTCTGAGAGTGAGAGAATATCTACCAAATGATATCGTCCCGATGAGAACAAGTCGTGTGCCCGGCCTTCGATGTGAGCCTCCGGACTGCGTTGCAATACCAAGGCCATCTCGCCTATGGTATGGCCCTCCCAGCTTTCACTTTGAGAGATTTCATGTCGCTCCCTATCATCAGCTCCATACAGTAGCTTCAGATACTTCAAGTCAGCTTGAACAAAGACCAGGAATGTGTATCTTACCTCATAGAATCCAAGAATCCTCGCAGCCAACATCAAGGCGTCTGTCTTCCATCTCTTCGGATGTCGGAGCGCGATATTTAGCTCACTCAGAGCCTTGCAGTAGAACTTCAGGCCGTCATCGATCATCCCCTGCTCCTTGTCTCGCCGGCCAATGGTTCCCAGACTGAGTGCCAATAAACTCTCTCGTAACGCGGCATCGGTACGATAGAGGTCGCGGGCCGTTGTTGCCCAGTCAGCGTTGGAGTATCTCACGATAGGGCTTCCAGGGGCACACAATGGGGCCTCGGGCATGTACCCATCCCAAAACAGATCGAATGTCTTTTCTTCAAAGGCAGACTGAGATAAAGATGGTGTCTGGATAATTGTGCGCGTAAAAGCAACCACCGCCTTCGAGTTGCGGTTGGTCGCCGGGTTGGTGACGTTGACGAAGATGCGCTTCCTCTCGTAGCCCGCGCACTCGATCCCCGCCTTCCGACACTGTCCGCATGAGGGACGTTGCAAGTCGCACTGGCACAGCTTCTGTCAATACCGTGCATGTCGGAACAGCACAAGAACACATCATCTCGTGTTGGCAGACTTACGCCCTTCTTTCGCTTCCGGCATGTGTTGCAACCCTTTGAGCGTCCGGGAACCCCGACCATGGCGTGCCAATGTTTTGAAGGGTCCCGGGCACGGTGGATTCGGCGCGCGAGATGGTTCTGATTTAGGAATGGTGGAAAAAACCACGGATTCGGACCCGTTTATCAACTGCGGAGGAATGCGCGAGAAAGTAGGGGCGATTGGCAGCTATGCATCAACTTCAAAGGCGGTGGAGCGGCCGACCTACGTACGGGCCTTAGAAGCGGAGGCCGCGGGCTAGCAAGAAGATGTTAGACAAGTGAACGACCTCACTCTGAATGGCTTTGCGGCTGCAAAAAAGCGACCAGTCCGATAAGCACATGAGAAACGCCTCTGCTGACGGCGTCAATGACGACGACGACCTATGGATGCGGGCGAAAGATGCGCCGCTCATCCAGGCGCAACATATCCAGGCCAAGTCCACATGCTTACGCGAGTCGGATCGACGTTGCAAACGTGGCGCAAGCCTAAACCCCATTGGGAACCATTCTGCGCGCTGTGGATTGTAGGTGGGTTTGTCAAGCTCGAGAGATCTTCGATTCGGGAGACTTTGACGCCAGGCGTCCGATTGTCCATTCATCGACCTCAATTTGCATTGCCCCGTTTTCAACATACGAGCAGACGCGCATTATCTTACCCGAAGCGGTACAGCGTCTCTACGTTCTGTCCTACGCGTGTGACCCGACCTCCATCATATTGTTGCGCATACGCGAGGGTCTCTCCATCTCAAGGAGCAAGATCGCGATGATGAAGCCAGGTAAACATATAAGAGAGACATGGCTCTCTACCGGAAACATGTGGTCCGAGGGAACGACTAGCAGCGACACTATCCGGCGTACTTTTAAACCCCCAGAAGATACAATCAACTCGATCATTCATAGTTACAACATATAGCGAGACTGAATCACAGAAACATATCAAGAATGGTCCAACCAACTCGACCACCTGCCAATGGCTTCGTCGCCGCAACCAGAAAACTCTACAACCCACTTGGGTTTTCTAAGGGTTACAACTTTGTCCTTTTCTTTATTTTCTTTGGTGCCCTCATGGGATTCACCCTCGCCCGGTTGCAATACCTCAGCTTCGACACATTTTGCAAAGGCGCAGCTCCCGGAGAATGCTTCAACTACCAAAAAGGTCACGAAAAAGCCGGAATCATTATCCATCTTTCTGGGATTCTTCCTGCTGGCTTTCTGGCATGCTTTCAGTTCGTACCTGTGATCCGCCACAAGGTTCTGTTGTTCCATCGTATCAGCGGCTACATCATCCTTTTGTTGTCGCTCGTTGGTACCGCGGGAGCTTTCATGATTGCAAGAAATGCATTTGGTGGTGGTCTCGATGTCCAAGCTGGGATTGGTCTCTTGGGAATCATGTTCATTGTTTCACTTACGTTGGCATATGTCAACATCAAGAGGCTTCAGATTGAGCAGCACCGAGCTTGGATGTTGCGAGCTTGGTTTTACGTGAGTGACCCCTATCGGTCTTTCTAGGTTTCCAGTCACTAAACAATCTTATGCAGGCCGGTTCCATTATCACACTCCGCCTTATCCAATTCTCATGTGCGGCCATCATCAGCGCTAACGGTACTTACTACGCTGCACGCCCTTGTGACCAAGTTGCGTACATGGTTGGTGACACAAACCGAACAATCAAGTTATATCCGGATTGTGCACTCTACTTCTCTGGGGCCAACCCCGGTCAACAAACGATTGTTCATGCGGATCTTCTGAACGCCACATCTGCTGCTGAGGCTGGAGCGGCTGCTAGTCTACCATTTGGGATGGCCCTCTGGTTAGCATTGGCAATCCACGCTATTGGCATAGAGTTATACGTGAGCCCCGGTTCCATACACAACCTTCATATGAGTGAGCTTCTAACCAGTTTGGCTATAGCTAAGGCTCACCCCAGCAGAGGCAGAAAGATTACGCAACGTTTCCTACAAGAGACAGTTAGAAGCTGGCATGAACCCCGCTGGGAGAGCTGGATTGACAGCGGACCACATTGGCGACTCCGCGACATGGCAGGCCAGCCCTAAACCGTCTCAAGACGATTCCACGTCACAACTGTCCGCACCACAATAACAAAATGAACGATGGGATCATCGGAACGACACGTGTTTCCTTCATGTTTACATCTCGTTAATGTAGAGATCTTGCTCAAACTCTCTGGGCCAAAGGAAATAAAGTCGGGGGGTCAAACACTGATGATAAAAAGGAAGAGACCAAAGATATAAAGATAATAGGACATGTAGGATTAGAGATCAAACAGTCACTACTAGCCTGACGACTATTATAAGCCCTTAACGTCTTTTCTAGGAAGAGGGTAGACAGCCTCTTATAAGGTGTTTTGCCTTGAGGATTACTGTTATGTTAAAAGGTTGTTGAAGTATTTCACTGTGACTGAATTTAGAAGACTACAAAGTTCTAAGAAAAGACATCTAAAGAAGACGTTGTTAATGCAACCAGGATACATCTATTGATTAGAGATTACTCCAGTTGGGCAGACTGCTGTGCTTCTCATACTACCCAGCCCTAGCAGCCATGGAGATGAAGCAGTCAGAAAAGAAAAAGGAGGTGATAGAGTGAGAAGAGCTGTAAAAAGGCATGTTCAGTTCTGATTTTACACCTGCAGCTCATTGAGGTCAATCAAAAACGTTACGTTTCAAGAATCGCTAGTTTATTTGCTGGTTTGCGATGTGTACAAGCAGTTTCAACGTGGGGTACGTAGCTAAACTGTCTAGATGAGTCCGAACCACCCAGTCGCCTTTCCACCAATAGCAGTCCTAGCTAGGATGACAGCCATGTTCTTGTCACGGGCGACAGGAACCCAAGTCTTTTCTAGCCCGTTCTTGTCAACGGGCTTTGGAGTCTTCGTTCGGACTCTGAAGTGATATCTTCTCTCCCCCTCCAAGGTCTCTGGCTCTGGACTTATGTTGATCTTTTCCAAAGGAACCGTTGCACCGTCGACCGTGACCTCCAATACTGGAACATCCTGAATATAGGTCGCTGTCTTGACAGAACCGTCAATGATCACGTCAAGTACTGAACCGGAGCAGCCTTGAGCAACTTCGAACTTCTCAACATTCAACTCGGGACGGGGAGCCCTTTCTTCAACCGAAGAATCAAGCTGCACAATATCCGAGTCTAGGGCTGGTGTATGAGGCGGCGGGATCCGTCGTTGCGTCTGCACTTCAAAGGCGTTCGCCCACTTCAGCAACTTGACGTCATCGTATGCTCTCCCAGCGAAGGTCAAGTTCATCGGGACGCCCTTATCGGCAAGAATACCCATCGGCACGGACACAGTCGGGATCCCCAAATGTCGGATCGTCCTGTTTCCATTGCTATAATGAACACCATTTCGCCATGCCAAGTCCGCGCCTTCGAAGCTAGAGTCAGCATTGGCGGGACCAACGTCTCCGGCTGCCGGGAAAGCCACACAGTCGCAGCCGAGATCTGTGAGCCAGTCTTCAAGGAGAACTCTACGCATCCCTTCCAAAGCCTTGATAGCCACATCGAGCCCTTCGATGTTGTTGATACTGCCATTTCTGATGTAATCAACCAGTTTGTGGTACAGAATAGCGTTAGGCTTGTCGAAATGTCTCAATTCAGGCTCCGTTCGTAGTGCGTCTGGGTAAATGTTGAATGGGTCAACTGCAGCGAGATCCGGAATTCGCGGGTCTTTAAAGCTTTTGAGAAAATCGTTCCAGGCATGAGCAATGAGAGCACTTCTTTCCATGGAAACCCAGTCATTCGGCCTTTTTGGGCAACCATTAGGCAGAAGTTCATCATTTTCGTAGGCTGTCACCGCAGGAAAGTCGAGAACCATAACGATCTCAGCACCTAGCGCCTCGAGGTCTTTTCTCGCTTGCTTCCAAAGCTCAACAACCGCTGGGCTTGTTGTCACTGGCTTTGCTCCAGAGGGGGTAGGGCCGCCAAGGTACATCTCGGGAACCGCAATCCGTAAGCCTGAGAGAGAATTGCATCCAGCTAGCTCTTTGAAGGATATCGGCCTGTCCTGCCACGGTTCTGGAAGCTTAACGAACAGTTGTTCGCGCCAGAAGTCCCCTTTCTTGATTGGGTCTTCCACGGCGATGACGTCTAGAAGGGCAAACATGTCCTTCATAGTTCTTGTGTGAGGAACAGGGACGTCGCATGTTGGGTATAGCGGCCAGCTCCCCCGTGGGGAGAGAAAATGTCGGGATGGAGTGTATGCAACAAGCGCATTGTTAGAGGCGGGTGACCTCCCAGAGGACACCGTCTCTCCGCCGAGTCCAAAAGATGCGAATGACGCCGCTGTAGAGACCGCAGACCCGTTTGAAGAACCCGACGCGAATCCAGCTGCGAGATATTCTGGGTTATACGGGTTCTCCGCCCGCCCCCAAATGCCTCTTTGCATACCACCGCACGCAACCGCTGGCATGTTCGTCCGGCCTACTAAAACGCCACCTGCTTCCCGAATCTTCTCAACTAGAAAAGCATCCTCATTGGCGGTGAGGTCTTTAAATGCGGGCGATCCAGCTGCGGCGACAAGCCCTTTGACTTTATAGCTATCCTTGACGGTATAAGGTATACCCTCGAGCGCTCGCACTGGTGCACCTGATGCGCGCCTGTCGTCAGATTCGGCTGCTTCTTCAAACAGCTTGTTGTTCAGAACCGGGATGGAGTTCAGTGATGTGTTGCGGCAGTCGTACGTGCTTATGCGACGGAGATAGCGGGCAGCCAGCTCAACGCTGGTTATTGAGCCCGAGTTGAGAGCATTGTGTATGTCTTCAATCGAAGCCTCGACGAGGTTGAGTTGCAGCATGGTTGGGTCGAGTTCAATCGTTTGCATGTCCATAATATTTTCTGCTGTGGGATATCAGGAGTCTAGGACACCGCACATCACAGAGTGGCTATTGACTCTTCCTCTAACAGACATAGAAGAGTGGCAGCCAAGACATATTTGCAAACTGAAGTAGGCGAAAATATTCCGTGGCGAAGCTTGTAGATATCTGCTTCGCCGATTGCATTGCGGGGAAACTGATATGTGAGAGATAGGGATGGTCCCGACCAGCGTTGACTCCGATAACAATCGAATCCCACTTCGCCGATTGAGGCCGATGGCATCCATACCGGTACCTATCTGCAGCCCCTTCAGGCCCCTGCTGCAGCCGCTAGCGGTTACCCGAACGCTGGTGAATCTCCGCCAACACCAAGTACTGGATAAAGTTGCCTAAATGAGATCCCTCATTGGCACAGGGATCGGCGTTGAGGAGGGAGTTTGGCTCTTATGGGGTGTGCGCACGCTATTTGCTCAATCGAGACATAGAAGACTGTCAAGTGTATTACAAAGTCTAGTTCAATAGGCCCCAGCAAGTTGTGAGGGACCGGCGGTAATGCAGCCCGTCGGCGGAGCGAATTCCAGTTGGCTGGTGATGTCGGGTGTACCTGGGTCATGAAAAGCCTGCGTTCCCGTCGGCGTAGGTTGGCAGAAACAGCCTGAGCAGGTGTATCCGCAGACGCAGACTAAGTTGCTGGCGCCGCTGGGACAGGTCGGATTAGGTGGACCGGGACAGAAGTAGATAGGCGGGGCACGGGTAGCCCGCCGACTCACCAAGGCTTTGATCGTTCGGATCTTGGTTTTGCATCTGCGCAGGACTCATGATTCAGGGACCAAGACCTGGGTCCTCAGCTATGAGCCTGTCATGATCCCGGAGACAGGATACATTGTCGAAGACCTCACCGTTCCAAGCGAATGGTTAAAGTTCACTGTTACAAGTGAGCTTCAAATTGTCTTTTCCACATCTCGATTCTTTGGAATCCAAGTAAAGAGTCTCTGGGAGGAAAAAACCCTTATCATAGTCCTGCTCAGGGTTAACGCCAAAAGATATATTGACCACGACTTTCCCGTGTCTGATTATGTTGATGACGTCCTGAACTACCAGCAGTAAATGGTCAAAAACTTCTCCAACAGGGCGCAGATGTCCTTTGCCGGGCATAACCTTTGACTAGAATGAGGTTGACCGAGCTGACGACACCGTACCGCTTGCCACCTGCTTTACCAACAAATAGAGGTACCTTGGTAGCGGTTTCCGGCGTTATAGTTGTTATCACTCACGCCTCAAATTCTGTTAGGATACCTGAGAAAGATATCGATGTTGCTTTGGAGCACCGAGAGCGTACTAACTACTGTAAGTACAACAGCTTCAAGCAAAACGTATCGGTATTACAGAAATTTGAGGGAGGGTTCAAGCTTGGCTGATCCACGTCACATGAGCTTTGGGCATTGAAATTTCGGTGTTGGCTTTCACAGGTCTTGTGCATAATTACTTCCCCGTTGCTATGTAATCATTTGAAGGTGCACTTCAGCGTTCAACATTTCTCAACAAAGTCTTGTCTGTGTCGGCGTCGAGTGAGTACATAAAGTTTGCATAACCATGTGGAACCCGAAGATAGCTGGCGGACATAGCTCAGTTGGGAGAGCGTCAGACTGAAGTATGGATCTTTAGCACCCATTAAAAACTTCATTCACTTAATCTGAAGGTCGTGTGTTCAATCCACACTGGCCGCATCTTCGCTTTTTGTCTTGGTGGCATAAGCTGAGTTTTCCCCCACGATTAAGTGGTTCAATTGAATCCACAATAAATTACAAGCTCCATCCATAAACATGACGTAGTGTGTGTGGTATTTATTATATACGCAGACAAGCAAATATTTTTTTTTTGGTTTACCTCCAGGGAGACCAAGTCCTTCGTTGACGTGGTCAGCTTTTGCTTCAAAAATCTCTTGTATCAGATTCTAACGTCCATGGAAACAATTGTATAGGTCATCAATCTCTTGGGAGATTTGGACTTGCCTTTCCTTAATTCAATTCTTCCAGGGTCGGCCAGTCAGTGGGAGCTGCTTCTTAGGGTGTTAGCTCAAAGGCACATGCTCACCAGTCACGCCAAGCGATCTTGCTAACACATGTCTCACTAAATGACTGGCTAGGGAGAGCCACCTCGTAGACCCCCGAAGATCTTTGATGACCCTTTCCTTGATGACGTTCCCAGAATAGGCCCTAATGCCCTACTTCATCTAGACTGTTTTCGATAGGCTGAGGCACAGAGATATCCGCCCAAAGTTGCAGACAAGTAGTTTTTGGCACAGTGGAAGCTGCATTATACTGAGAATAACTGTCCATAATCCCCCGCACATGTGTAACGGCAGGAGGGCGCCATCAAAATCTTTCAGCTTGTGTCTGACTCTGTGAGACATGGCTTTCCCGAAAGCAGGAAAGCAAACTGAGATCGACACCCAACAGTCCAATGATAACGGCCATGTGTTAATTACGGGCCGTCGCGCCTGTAAGATGCTGTGGCTCTCGGTGAAACATTTTAAGAGACAATTCAAAGGCAATGACGCGAAGGGGGTAACAACAAGGATTCCAACTCAGACCTGGAGGTTGGCATTGCTGGGCAGGGCGGGGGGCTCTCAAGTTTTAAAGTGGGAGCTTGAGAACACTCGTGTGCTCCAATGCCTCTTCTCAAATAATTTACCTCTTAAGTTTCATTGACAGTGACAAACCAAAGCCATGCCGACTCCAATCCCTCAGCCCCCTGGTGTGCCCTTATTGGGCAACATCTTCGATGTGGACCCTAAGAACACCTGGTCATCGTTGAAGAAGCTTTCTGAGAAATACGGCGAGATCTTTCAGATCAAAGTCTTGGGACACACCATTGTCTTTGTTGCTGGTGCCGCCCTAGCTGAAGAGCTTTGCGACGAGAAGCGATTCCGCAAGTATGTCGGTGGTCCGATTGTCGAGATCAGATACGCCGTCCACGATTCGCTCTTCACAGCCTACGACCATGAGGAGAGCTGGGGTGTCGCCCACCGCATCATCGCGCCCAAGCTGACACCACAGTCCGTGGCAGACCGCTTCGACGATATGCTGAGCACAACCAACGAGCTACTTGAAAAGTGGAAGGGCCTCGGACCTAACGAAGAGGTGTCTGCCATTGGCGAGCTGAACAGACTCAACCTAGAGGCGACCACTCTGGCGCTCTTTGGCAAGAAGCTCAACTGCCTGACCGGCCCTGAGCACCCGATGCTCAAGGGCATGGAGGACTCGACATCCGAGGCTATGCAGCGACCAAACAGACCTGGCTTTTTGAACTGGCTCGTATATGGAAGTAAGTTCAAGAAGGCAACAGAAATGATGAGGTCGTATGCGTCAGACTTGGTGGAGCATAGAAGAACCAACCCATCAGACCGCAAGGATCTTCTTGCCGCCCTTCTTAACGCCGAGGATCCCGAGTCTGGTAAATCTTTCACCAACTCGCAGGTCATTGATGAGATTGTTACCATGCCCATTGGCAGCAGCACCGCTCCAGGCCTGGTCAGCGCCATCATCTATCTTCTTCAGAAGAACTCGCATGTCATCACCACTGCGCGGGCGGAGCTTGACCGCGTCGTTGGTAGCGGCGAGCTGACATATGCCCATTTGGCGCAGCTTAAGTACATTGAGGGCATCGTTCGGGAAGGTCTGAGACTGTCTTTCGCTGCGCCGGGTTTCAACATCGAACCTATCCCTAAGGAGGGTGACAAGAGCCCAGTGCTGCTTGCAGGAGGCCAATATGAGGTCGCGTATAATCAGCCCATGATCCTCGTTCTTGCCGGAGTGAACCGCGATCCTTCGGTGTTCGAGGACCCCTTGGCATTCAAGCCTGAGCGCATGGTGGGCGAGAAGTATGACCAGCTGCCGATGGGTGTGAAGAGGTACTATGGCAATGGCAAGCGCGAATGTATCGGCAAGCACTACGCATGGCTCTGGAACATGGTTGTTGTGGCAAAGCTCATTAAGGAGGTTGATTTCACGATGGCGGATCCGTCGTATGAGTTGAAGCAGGATGGCTGGTTCAACCTGAGGCCGGTCGATTTCTATGTGAAGATTAAGCCGAGAACAAGCAGCAAGGCCCCGGAACTGTGAAATTCTCATGTAGCAGCTGGTCGCGGATTTGAACTTGTACTTTGCCCTAGTGACGGAAACTTTTGACATTAAATTGCTCTTTTTTCATTACTTTATCTGATAATATACACTTCATGTCTTCATTGGGGGATGGTGAGAGAGAGGGAAGCCTCATCAACCTCGTCTCCCTTCTTCGAAATACCGCCTTGGGCCAAGGCAATCTCGTTCGCGGCATCGTCGGCAGCGAAAAAGGCAGAGGTAGCGAATGGTGCACCGAGCATACAGCCACCCACGTCGATGTTAAGCGCGCAGTACGCAGGTTCCGCGTCCGCATTGTTGCGGATATAATTACGGATGGGGGTCTTGATAGTGATCGTCTTGTTGTCAACACCGGCAAACTCTAGGTCAATGGTCAAGTCCTTGGGGACGGAGTCGCAGCTGCCGTTCCAGGAAACGTGGCCAATAGAGTCTCGAGTCAAACCAGTGGTGGCCATAAATGAGTTAAGAGCCGAGTCAGTGATGGGTAAGTCGTTGATCTGCGTGCCGGAGTCAAGCTGGCAGGAGCTTCTGTCCACCGAGTTGTCAAAGGTTGTGTTCTTGACTTTGACCACGGGAGGGGCGACAAAGTATCCGACGGTAGCACCACCGTCGTTCTTGACAAGAGGCACCTTGACGAGCTCACCAGTGAACTTGGACAGATCAATGGCGCCGAAGATGGCATTGCCTGTGAAGGTACCATTCCACTCGGCAGGCGGCTCGTCGAACCAGAGGCTCTGGACCGGAGCACTAATGAGACCCTTCTCGAGGAGATCCTGACGGACGTGAGGGCCCGTGGTGTTCCATTCTGCAGAGCGGTAGAAAGGTGAAACGCCCAAGATGCCGAGGTCATACGCGGCCGGGATGCATTGGCCGTTGTAGCCAAGGCGCTGCTGCATGTAGGTCGCGATAGCAACGCGGGCGTCGACCATCGATGTGACGCCAGAGTCGGAAGCAAAGAGAAAAGTGTCGTTGACGCTCTCCGATGCCTCGACGATCTTGGTGAACCCGCCGTAGGCATATAGCGCCGGGAACAGCTCCGGCTTCGTGGCCGACGGACTGTGCGGGTAGTCGTAGAATGGCTCGACGGTAACATTGCACTGACCCTGGCAGAATAAGCTTGTGCAGCCCCAGTTGTTGATAGCGTTGGGGCCGAAAACCCAGTAGTTCTCAGATCCCTGGTCGAAGACGACCTCGACCGAGATGTTGCTGGCTGGGTTCACGAGGCTGGTGGCAATCTTGTAGCCGCCGCCATAGTAGTAATGCAGAGGGACGCTAACAGTGGGAATGGCGGCGAGTGTACCATTGGCAAGAGCCGTCATCACGAAACTTTGGGTCCGCATTCTGTTGGTTGTGAATGGGTTTCAGCGAGTAGCTGAGAAGGAATCGTGCAGGAGGAAATAATCTCGACTCGGTAAGTGAGGACTCTAGTCTCTCTTATTAACTTTTAATGGAGCAGATGCTCTTCTTGCGAGCCATTTTAAACTAAATTTTTGGCGGGGAACATGAAAATGGGGTATTGCAAACGCTATTTTAAAACTGGGACTTTGTCTTGCTCCACGGAAGCGGAAGAAGTCCAGCAACAGTTCGCCGTAGTGGTCTATCGCCTGCAGAATCTGGAGAAGAGTTATTGGAAACCCACGTCCCACGTAGATTTACCCGCTATTGTCCCAGAAATACCACCTCATATTTCCTTAACAAGAACCACGAAAAGCATGGCAGCTATGGAAACGAAGGCAGGGACCTTCTTCGTATTAAGATTGTGATAGACTCCATATAGCGTGCAGGGCTGGGGTTGCAGTGAGGTAAATCACCTGCCATATAAGTGTAGGCCAACAGGAAATTGGGCTCAATGCACCGAAAGATAGGGTGAACTCGTGGGCCAGGGCCATCGGCAGGGCTGGAAGTTGCCAGTTCGGCAGTCGTCCGATGTCTTGAATACGAGCTTTTGAGCGGAGACTATGCCAGGTGGGGATGGGTTGCATGGGTCACCCCCGGATGAGAGTCTTCACGATGATGTCAAATAGAGAACAGGACGTTCTTTATCGCCAAGGAGCGGGTCAACGACCTCGGCAGTCTTGCCGAAAAGCTTGTCTAGAGCTCCCTGTGTTTTGATATCAGACGCTATAATTATACGAAGTGCGTGTCGGTTTGATGCACGCTTTCTCATCAATCCCTTCATCCCGAGCCGACACAAACAAGGAGACTGAGAAAGCATGAGATCTTTGTGGGCTGCGACTCTGACGTTGAGCGGACTGGCTCTCGGCCATCCAGCAACAGGCAAGAATGCCGTTCACGAGTCCGTCAAGCAGCTGCCCCAGGGCTGGCGACACGTCGCTCCGGCCCATGATCTCAACACGGTGCGGCTGTCCGTTGCATTGAAGCAGCCCGGCTTGTCTGAGCTCAAGGCACGTCTCGAGGTCACCAGCGACCCTAACCACTCTGAGTACGGGTCCCATATTTCTAGGGACCTTCTGAGATATTTCCAACAACCAAGCGCAGACTCTTATTCCGAAGTGGCATCGTGGCTTCAGGCCAACGACATCCACGACTTCGTTCTAGACGGAACCGGGGTTCGCCTAAACACGACTGTTGCTAAGGCGAACCACTTGTTGGACTGTAAGTTCTCCAAGTATCAGTACAACGACGGGAAGGTGGTTCTCCGGGCCAAGGAGTACAAGCTCCCGGCCCAGCTTTCGGAGCATGTCGAATTTGTTTATCCCGTCACCCAATTCGTGAGAATGCCACCGAGACGGGAAATCAGAATGCGGAATACGGGCAAAACAAAGCGCCAGAGCACCAGTGAGTTTGAAGGAAGCCATAATACGCCTCTCTAGCACTGACAACATCTAGTGCCCGAAAGCTGCTGGTCTTACACTACCCCCGACTGTATTGTGGACCTATACAACATCAATTACAGCTTGCCAAACGACCAGTCTCCCACTGACTTTGGCATCGCCGGCTTTATTGAGCAGTATCCCAGTGTACCAACCATGCAAGCATTCCTAGCATCGTACAGTCCACTGCGAAACACTACCAACTACTCCTCCAAGTATAATCTTACCGTGGAGTCTATCAACGGTGGCGGGAACACTACGGACGGCAACGGCGTTGAGGCTCTGCTCGATATTCAATACAGCATGCCGTTCATACAGCCGATGAATGTCACTTACTTCTCAACCGGTGGTCGTGGCCCTAAAATCGGCGATGACGGTACAGAGTTGGATCCCAGTGAGAACACCAACGAGCCTTGGATCGAATTCCTGGAAGCCCTTGTTACTCGCGAGACGATTCCCCACGTCATCTCCATCTCTTACACTGACGACGAGCAATCCATCCCGTTGTTGTACGCTCGTCGTGTCTGCGACCTCTTCATGCAAGTCACCGCTCGTGGGGTATCCGTTATTATCGCAAGCGGAGACGGTGGCGCTGCGGGCGCCGTGGGTGGTAGCTGTGTCTCAAACGATGGCAAGAACACGACAAAGTTCCTCCCGTCGTTTCCTGTAGACTGTCCTTATGTCACAGGCGTTGGTGCTACGGGAAGCTACGCCCCAACGGAGCCGTCTTGGTACAGCTCTGGTGGATTCAGCGAGTACTTTGAACGTCCTGCCTGGCAAGAATCCGCGGCCAAGACATACATCGCAGCCATCAACGGATCGCACTCTGGCTGGTATGCACCCCAAGGCCGAGGAATTCCTGATATATCGGCTATCGGTTCTCGTTTCTTGATGCAGCCCGGTTGGACGCAAAAGGGGACTAGTGCTAGCACGCCGGTGGTTGCGGCCATGATTGCTCTTGCCAATGACAAGCGGATGAGAGAGGGCAAGCCACCGCTGGGTTTCCTTAACCCTCTTTTGTACTCCGATAAAGTCCGCGCCGCGATTAATGATGTCACGAGTGGCTCAAGTGGCAGTTGCGCCGTTGGTAACGAGGTGGAGAGTGGCTGGTTAGCGACTACTGGGTGGGATCCGGCAACGGGTCTTGGTACTCTGGACTTTGCCAAATTTATCGAGGCACTTGAGTAACGTTTAATAACTTGAATGGTAAAGATCTATCAAACTCTGTGGAACTTCAAATTGTAATGGCACAAACCCGTCTACCATTCCATTGACCTCGTTTATCATCAATCCATTTACTCACTCACAAGTCTATCCTACTCAGGTATGGTCTTCTGACCGCATCCCCATGTATTATTCCGCGTCTTCGTAATTAGTATTGCCATTACAGTCCTAGTGAGCGAGCCGCTTCTACTGCTTTTACCAGCGCGCGAGGCGAAATCCCTGCCGGATCCCGCAGCTGAGTATAAGAATCTCCGTCTCTGGGTCCAAGAACTCCGGCATCTCTGATAAAGCCCCGGTGTGAGTCGAAAAAGAACAGCGTCGCATGTAAAGCGTCAGGTGCCACGTCGGAAGTGTGAAAGGCGGCAGCTGGGATTGTATATGTTGAATCTCTATGATGAACCTCGGAATGGGTTTCCGTAGCTTTAAAGAGATTCCCTGTATTCTTGACAGTCGAAGAGGATTGGTGAGTCTTATATGCGCTGTTTTGTCCCTTTCCGTCGTCCCACCCAATAACGTATTCGGCATGCGTAGCGTCTCCAGCCTCCTCAACTGGCTTGACCTCCCAGGTGTGATCTACGCCCTCGCCTGCAAGGATCCAACTCTGTGCAAAAGGCTGATGCGAGTGCAGTCTGAAGTCGGGATTACCGCGCTTGCCGTCCGGCAGCCAGACATGGAGGCGGAAAAGCTCATCGATACTGCCGTCGTTGACGAGGCTGCATAAAGCGACGGAGAGAAAACCTTGGGCACTTCGTGCCGCCGTGAAGGCTAGGGATTTCTTGCAGGTAACAGCTTGATAGATCATGTCCCAGCACTGGTCGAGATCTTCGGGTGAGGCTGACTGATTTTGACGGGCTGTCTCACGCAGAAACGATACTGCGAGCGCAATTTTGAGACTAGCATAATTAGGCGAGTCTCTATCTTCGTTTGGAGTAATGTTCTCCAAAAAGCATTGCCAGTTTCTGAGCGTTAGACTAACTGTCAAGGAGAACAGCTGTTGAACGATCGGCTCAATCTCCGCTTTAGAGAGCTTTGCGGCTTGTGCGACCCCCCGAAGAGAACGCAAAAGTGACGCTGAGTTGATCTCCATTTTTCTCAATTATTATTATTGAAACAAAGATGATACTGCTGACGTATCTGTGGTAATTGTTGCTGATCTGCTGTCTATCGTCTGTCACAGCCGTTTTGCTATCTCGTGTATAGTTGTTCAGCTGCAATTTTGTATACGAAACACATACAAAGTCAATTTCTCTGCTCAGTCGAACCGATGTTTATTAAATAACATCCATTGCCTCTCCCAGGCTACTCAAGTACCACTGTACGAGGCATACACTAAGGCTGCATATCGTTCGGTTTGGACGAATCACGAGGCGGCGCGGGATATGACACATGGTCAGCACAGCCTCCTCATTAGGCAACACTGAGGCGGAACATGCATAGCGGCTCACATGGAATTTCAGAAGTGGATAATTGTGAAGCAGATAACTCACACCAATAAAGAATATGATTCAAACGGAACAGGCTCCTGTTTCCCACACTCCAAAATGCCTTTCGCTTGCCATCATCTCTCAGACGAAGATGAGAAGACTGAAAATAAATAGAAGATAATTAGAACCAAGTGGATTGTGGTGAACCCTATCGGATAGGATATATCAAGAATACTCCCCGAGCCGAGGATAGCAGGCGGACCTACGCAAAACAACGACCGTGCATCGACCATCGCCGCGTACATCGTCTTGGGAAGCGCCCAGATGACCCCGAAGCCGGTCTCCAGCCGTAGCGTTCTAAGTACGGCCTGCTTATCCACAATAAGACGTATAAAACGGGTCGAATTTGTGCCGCCAGACTCGCGCGAGCCTTATTGGGTGCGTCACGCACGAATCTGCTGACAGTGTCAAGATCATCGCGTCACCTCTTCATTAGGCTTTCTTCGACGCTCAGTGCGCCGAGATATGTATACACTACTGAGAAGGAGATCTGAAGCCGCCTGTAAACTGCAGATCTACCTGAGGTCGCCTCATTGATTCTTCCTAAGCACACCTTGGACAATGGCTTTCCACGAGATATCGTCGTGAGTGACCGTTCCAGGCACGACAGCAACAACTGCAAGATCGATGGACTCCTGTGAGAAGAAATCCAGGCTCAACGTTGAGTTATCTTACCAGTTGGAGTGCGTTCCGTACCGTTGTGGCTAATAGCAGCCTCTTTGGTAACGCACTTGGCATCTGTTTGCAGCCCCGCCTGCAAGGAGCTCTATACCGAGCACTACGATGAAGAGATGACACCGGAACACGTCTCCGCTGCAATTACTACGCGTTCGAGGCAATCGGAGTGGGCCCTAGGTGGTTGCTTGAAAGAGTCACCTCATTCCACACGCATCTTCTGCCTGAAGGCTTATTTGACCGAAATCTAAAGATGACTAGGAAGGGGGACATTCCACTTGAACTGGTGAGATGGATGTTATACCGACAGACTGAAAACAGCGTCCACGCCCGCTGTTACTAGTAGCCAGGGCAACCTGGCTCTACGGCCAGTCTGTGGCTATTCATGACTCTGGAACAAATAGCTGGAACATATAGACCATGAATATGTCGTTCCTCCAAACCATTCATGTCCAGGCTCATGTGCTGAGTTGTAGATGCAGAATATTGATCAAAACAACGACTTTAATTTCTCTTTAAACCTATCTATGTGCACCTAACCCAGGGGTGCTAATGTTAGTTCCTCTAGAATACACACAACCAACTCACCGACGCGGCGACGCCTCCCCTGAGTTCTCCAATGGTACTGTCTACTGGGCAGCACGAAGAAATCTAGATGCTATGATGCTGCATGTGAGTGAAAAGACAACAAACTTTTACGGGAGGAAAGCCCTTTCCCTTGTGCATAATATCCCATGAAAATGACTTTTGAGACCTGCCAATCCAGTCCCGATAGTCGAACTTGGATGTCAACGTCTGTCGATAATACCTCGTAAATCGTCGCTAGAACTAGCCCTGGACACGGTTCTCTTCAGTCTCTTCGTCCTCAAGTCTCGTGGCATTGGGAGGGGGGTAATGGGCCATGAGCAAAATGCCGACGGCGATGACGGCGAGGGCCTGTGCGACGATCATTAGTATTCGACAGACAAAAAGCATGACCAGAAAATACTTACCGCATTGACGAAGAACGTCAAATTGGGCTTGCCAATTTCTGATAGCGTGGCAAACACTAAGCCAAAAATACCCTGCGTCGTTAGGGTAGCTGCACTCTCGACAAGGGTGATGGCACTCAAGGCATCTTGACGCATGTGAGGTGGGCACATTTCTGTAATGACACCCTTGGCGGCTGGGGCTGATCCGGAAGCAAACGGAAGCAGAAAGGCAGCTGTTTGCAGTGTTAGTATATCAAAGTTGTTCATCAGCGCTGCGAAGTGCCCGAGCTTACCAGCATAAACATGCCATCCCTTGGTTGCCCAAGCAGCGAGGGAAGTGACGATTCCATCAACTACCAGACTCCACCGCAAGAAGAACAAGTCAAAGGTACTGTCCTCGTCTTCCTCTTCGGGTGGCGCCTTTGTCGGCTCCGAGGCATTCATCAAGCCAGGCGCCGGGTCCATGTCCTCCGGGTGCGTTGGGATGAGATTACGCTCGTCCTGAGTGAGTGTCTTCTGAAGAGCTCCGGAGTGAGATGAGGAAGCGAACCACCTTCTTCCGCTGTCGATGATTTCCGGAAAGATGAACATGAGGAAGATGCCACGTATCCACGAGTTGCCGGACATGAGGATGCCGTTCTCTGTGGTACCAAAGTTGAAACGGGAGGTTGCGTACATCTGGATAAGGATCGGAGCATATCCTGTGGCAAACTACAGGATGCATCGGTCAGCAAGCTCGTTTGGAGGGAATACCGTACAACCAATGACCTAGTGCTTGCACTTACCACGCCGAAAAAGATGCCAAGAGCCAGGAAGACAAGGCCGTAGTTCCTCACCACCTTTCCGGATTCGAGACGGTACTTCTGAGGCATGAGGACCTTAATCGGGGCCAGGAAGCCGGAGGCTCCGGGTGTGGTCTTGGCCGCTGCCTCGTCGCTCTGCTCAGGCGGCGCTGGCCAGAAGATGGCGCCGTAAGTCGTAGCAATCGCGAAGCAGCCGACGGCAGTGACAAAGGGGCTGACGATGCCGAAGACATCGCCCAGAACACCACCCACTGGAACAACTGTTAGTCGGTGTTGAGAAGAGGACCAGGGCAATACCCACAAAGGTAGCCAATGGCGGTGCCAATCATTACTGCGCCCTGCAGCCGGCCGAATACGCCAGTATGTTTTCTTCTTTCAACCACCTCCGCAACGGCGGTATTGAGCACAAGCCTGGCAATCACCACTGCATTAGCGTCCGTCTGTCAGTCTGAATGGGATGCTCGCTCTTTCCCACTTACATGTATCCCCGCGGGCCGCCGATGATACCAATCAGCTGAGTGTACTGCATCAAGTCAATACCCCTCTGACCACCGGTCGAGACGGCGATAATCTGGCACGAGACGCGGATGCCGAGCAGACCCGTCTGGCTAATGAGCGCCCAACGGGTACCCCAGCGCTTGATGAGGTCGCCGCATATGAAGAGGTTGAGGATACCGCAGACAGAGGTGGTCATGCCGAGGATCGACACCTGGCGGGCTGTGTTGGCGTCGATCTCGCGGCGGTGGCACATATCGGCGGCGGGGCCGTCGAAGGGTGCGTGGCCGTCGTAGAAGGTCTCGCACGCCATGACGCGGAAGACGTAAATGATACTGCGGTGCTGTCAGTTCGTGCCTCGTGTTGATCTACCTTACATGTAACAATGTATGCATTATGGTATCACGTACGGAACTTGAGTCAGTCCTAGAGTCAGGGACACAAGGAAGCCGGCGAAGAGGATGCGATTCGCGGGAGACCACAGGCCGCGACCGACCCGCTTCACGGCGCCGGCGCCGCCCTTGAGAAGGGGCGTCCGTTCGTCTGCATCTGCGGCCATTGGGTGGATTGTTTAGGGTACGAGTAGGTATTCAGTCACAGAGTTCCGGCGTTGCGCAATTAAGAGTGCCAACAGAGCGTTCTTTGAGGCTCAAGTAAACTTTGGCAGAACTAGGAAGGTCGTTTAGATGGGTGGAGGGGGAAGTCAAGAGGGGAATGGTACAAGAACCAGACGACGGAGGAGCAGACAGTATGGCTGTTGCGAACTCGGGAGGAGGGGGGCGAAGCGGTTAAAGGATGAAAAATCGATTCGGTTTCCACTATCGTTCCCCGGATAGCTGGGATTCCTTGGGAAAGGGTTCGACCGTTGACTGTTGCGCAAGACGTGCGGAATCCCCGCTATTTCGTCAGAAAAATGATGGACCTGCCGTCTTTGGACCTCCTCAAAAAGAGTTTAGTGGAGCGCCACAGCTGACCGACAGTAACAGACGGAGTGAGTGAGTACGGAATAAGTGTGTGTATGTGTATGTGTGTGTGTGTGTGTGTGTGTGTGTGCGCGCGACTGAGGAAGTGGGTGTGTGGTAGTCAGCCGGCAGATAATAGATAGAAGACAGAGATTCTGCGCGTTTCTGTTGGCGGCGTTCATCTGTGTGTGGGACGAACTTGCAGCCCAGACCAGCCCAGCCGATCAAGGAGCCGAGCGCGGCGTTCGTGTTGCCGACCCGGGTGGGCGGTGTGGGGGCTACATAGTGATGCGGGCATGTGATAGGCCCGAGATAAAGTCGCCGGGTGCAAGACCGGCGCTGAACCGGAGCTTGTCCGGGAATGTGTGCTTATCGTCGGCCTGCATCAGCAGAGGAGCCCGGCACGATGACGCCCCGCCGCGGGAGGGCCCGATTCCGGACTCGATGCACAAAATACGCCGGCCATCGCTGCAATGCATGTGTCTTGGTCCTTGTTCTTATCTATTGATTTGCTGTGTGTGGCCTATGCGGAATATCAATGAACGGGCATCCTAAGTCGAACCCGCCATAACACAAGCCTTACAGAGGCAACGATTCTCTCGGTAAACGGCCAACAGGAAAAGATAGGCAAAGCAACAGATACACCTTTACGAGCCTCTGTTGGCAATGAATAAACCAACGTCTACGACATTGGCTGCTCCAAGACAAGCTTTCCGAACTTGCCCTGTTCCGCCACCATCTTTACCTTCTCCAACGCATCCTCCGCAGAACCCTTGAACACATCTACCGCAGGCAGTTCGAACTCCGCGCCGTACTTGTCAACAGCCCACATCAATGCCTTCCACATTCTCTTCCAATCTTCCGGCCGGGCCGGAAATGTGAGTAGAGGTCCGTTGCGGAGCTGGAATTTGACCGGCGCAGCCGCTGAAGCCAGCGGCAGCTTGTACTGTTTGCCCGGATGCACCACAACCGACAAGATGATGGCATTGTCGTCGACGCATGCTTCCATCTGCGACACCGAGCTGACCTCCCCGAGAGACCCAGCGCAGTCGGCGGCATAAGCAATCGGGCCCGCTTTCGACTCCTCAGCTGCTGCCTTGATACGTGATACGACGTCGGGGGCCCGGTAATCGAAACACTGCGTCGCTCCGAGCTTTTTGAGCAGTTCGTGCCTCGCAGGCGACGCTGTGACAAAAATCGGAGATGTGCCACTTGCTCGGGCTAGCTGTAGCATGCATGCTCCCACACTTGCTGACGCACCCCAGATCAACAACGGGCCAGGCCTGAAGCCGTCATTGGGCTTCTCGCCCGGCAACGGCAAACCAAATATGTTGTATAGTCCATCGGCGGCCGTCGTCAAGACCGTAGTCAGACTGGCGGCGTGCGTCTGCGGAAGGTTCTCTGGAACCCTGAACATCATGTTTTCCGGGCAACTTAGATGCTCTTGATGAACGCCATATCGCAAGGGCCTACCGACGCCCGTGGGCGTGTAACCGGCCACGAGGTCACCAGCCCTGAAGTCGGAATTTGTTGCCGCTTTCACTACGCGGCCGCAAAAGTCGTATCCGATGATCGTGGGACGTACCCCGAGAATCGAACCATGTTTGACGTCGGCGGGATTGACTCCTGAGTAGAGCACCTTCACCACGACTTCGCCTTCTACAAGTTCAGGGACCGGGACATCATGGATAACTTTAAGATTTGAGTCTTCGTCGACAAAGAGCGCGGGGGTGGATGGTTTGGTAGCTGCAGACATTGTGAAGATGTGACATACGGCGAAACGCTACTAGCATAAGTGGCATGGGGTTAACATTATATACAAGAAGCCTCCCACCGGCTTAGAAGACTTTATATTGTCAGTCAAACAGAGAGAACGGTTTTTCGTTAGCGTCCACCCCTCCGAAGCGTCTCAGCCCCCGTACGGTTCTCCCAGTGCTGAAGGTCACATCCAAGTGTCGGACAATAGCGGGGTACCTAGGCTGTAGAAAATGGACGTTGGGGCCTTTTAGGGCTTACGAGTCTCTTAAGAGTGAGTAGGTAATCGGTCATCGGAACTTTTCAAAAGACCGAAGCGGTCCTCGTTTTTCGGGAACCTATGATATATTGAAGCGGTCGGCCGGTCCTGAGGCGGGGGAAACTCTAAAAATGGGCGGACCCCCTTGCATAGATCCTTGCAACTCCTTCGTATCTCGGCAACTTGGCCATGCTTTTACTCCAGACCGTGACTCTAATAAGGATGGGAGCTTTAGGGCTCTTCTTCTCTCTTCTGTCATCTGTCAAGGACCAGTAAAGATAAAAGCGGGATGCTATTATGCCGCGCCAACTTACCGGTGGGATGGACTCATCCCTTCTAGTACCCGAAGATCTACCCCTTTTTGATCTGACACGAATCAACATCTCCGGCTTAGCTGGGAATAGAAGCAAGTCCAGAGAAATATCTAACAGTGCTCTGTATCAAAGCCCATTGACTCTCCTTCATGTTCTCAAAATCCCTAAAGGGCTGCCCGTACGTACTCTATATCAAAGCCCAACAAACAAAGAACAAAAAAGGGCGCCTCCATTTGTCAATGACATCAAAGCACCTCGATGCTCCACGCGTCGTCTACCTTAGCATGTTGCTGCAAGCTGGCAGTAAGAAGAGGGCAAGCCGTTACTAACTTGCAGCATTGTACTTGAATAAGATCAGCCGGTGACTCTCAGAGATAGGGCCTACATTCTGGCTGATTCTCATCGATCGAAGACCGAGCAGAAAGTTTATGATAATTACTCTAACGTGTTCTCCATATGGAAAGAGTGATCACCTTAGTAAGGTAACAATCATAATTGATAATCACTACGGCCGCAGTAACTATGGCAGTCAAGACATCACGCAAAGGAACACTATTACCCCAGGAAAGAAATACAGTTTCGCCAATTGATAAACAGTCTTTATAGCTGTGAGAGGTCGCGTAACAATACTGGGTGTTGCAGAGCTTCACAGAGCGGCCTTTCTCTAGAGAAACATTAAGGACTTCCTTGGCCCTTGAGACAAAGGCGTATGTTCAATTGAGAGTAAAACTGAAACCATCAGGAAGCATTTGGTATTGGCGTCGTGAAGCTGATCCGACAGAAGCTTTATCCTTTAACTCTTGTCTCGATTGTTTTATTATACCCAGTGTGATACGCTTGGACGAGTTCGCAGCCCTTGTTATTGTTACTGATTGTTGACTTGTTGATCGTGCAGTATTCAGTAGTCTTGTCGAGTTTCTGAAGTGGTTCTTGGTCTCAACCAGCTTATCAAAGAACTTGTTCTTGATGGTTCTTTTTCCCCAAATGTTACAATGAACCAACCCCTCACCAAGGTGGTCGTACTTCTCAACGTCGCCCACCAAGCTTTCATAACCACCAGTGGCTCCAACGTATACCACATACGACCATACCCACTGGAGAACTCGGGACCCGTCCGCTCTCCCTTAGATAAGCCAGCAAGAGAAGGCTTATCTAGAGGAGCAGGATCCCCTGCTGAGCAATCCGTTGGCCGTTTCAATCAGCCAGTCAAACAGCCGTATAGCGCCAACCGTTTACTAATTCTCTTTTTACAAAAACAACTACAACTCCTGCCCTCTCTCTACACTACGCCGCTACCCCCCCTCTCTTTTCTCCCCTTGCTCTTCACCGCCTTTCTCTTTTCCTCTCACACCTCCCCTGTTCTCAACAAGATCTCCTTTCCCTTAAGCACAATATCATTTCTTATATTATTTAACTTACTAAAAAAGAACCATAGTCACAAATAGTACAATTATAAAACATAAGTCTTATATGAAAGTCTTGTGTATTTCTAGAATTTTCCTACATAATTTAATTACATTATTTTCAAGTAAATGATTCTTTTCGTCCGGGGTTGCCTTGACTAACGTTCAGCTCTTCAACGACGTCGTGAGGCGCCACGGCGCAAGGCTATGCTGAGTTTCACTGGTGATGCCCCAAACGCCCTTTCACAAATAGAAGAACGATTCCAGATAATATAGCTCATACAAGGAATTGCCCAATCGTGCCGTGGACCGGGCTCAGTTATTGTTGCCTCTCCACGCTACTGGTCGTGCACTTCAAGCCTATACTTATCAAAGGCAAGGCAACGTGCAATATCACGATATGAACAGGTTGATATATAATGAGCGTTCCTATTGCATGGAGCGGTGACCAAACAAACGACTGATTGTTGACATTATTAAGTTCCACACTAAGACCTGGCGCACCTGAAGACTACGTATATGGTGTTCGTTCCAGATCCTGAGCGCCTTATATTACCATCTTTCTACAGCTACATTGCAGCCATGGCAGTGGTATTCTGATGGCTTGTGTTAGATATATCTTGCTTCATGATGGGGCACCTTAGCAATAGAGTCACATGAAGACACTGGGGCATTAACTTCAAGAACAAGCTTAGTAGTAATAATGGATTGAAAGGCCTAGGACTATATAATTTATTGTTACATACTCAATAAACTGCAGAGTACGAGTAACACTTAAATGGATTTCTTAGGTCTTGGCAGTAATCGTGCCCACTATCGCTCGATGGAATGCACTTTAGAGGTAGGGTTAAACCATCAGATGTAGACACAGCGCAAAAAGGACCTTATAGACAGAACAGGTTTAACATCCGGGTGTCTGCCCACCAAGTAGTCGGTACAGTGTTTAACGTGTTTGCCCGATGCAGAGTCGGTGTCAATCATCAGGTGTTCCGTTATCGCAAATTGCAGCTTCCGCCAGGTGTACAGGCAGTGGCGGTCGTGGTGGTCGGCAGCTGGGAAGACGGAAGGCATTTCGCCCTTCTCAAACTCTTCCAGTGGCACCAACTCGCGGTGCTGCTCGTCGGCGTACCATGTCGTATTGGGCAACGACAGGAAGTCGCGGGCCAGGTCCTCAAAGTAGCACTCGCGCGGCGTCCATGCGTTGGACATGATATCGAAGACGCAACCGAGGTCGTTCGCCTCCTCCACCGATCCGCCGCAGCGTGGAAGTGGACGGGCCGGTCTGCCCAGGGCTGTGGAAACCAGAACGATCAAGAGTGAGATGGCGATGGCGGCGCTGATGACGATGATGGCAAGTCCCGCCCGGTGGCGTGCCGATCCGGGCCACCACTCCCGCGCTGCGGATTTGAACTTCTTGAAACCCGTGCTCAGTTTCGATCTGAAATGAGGCCTCTCACTGGGCTCGAACTGGCCTGCCTTTGACCAGGACGAGAGTTCTTCATGATCGTCTCTGTACCTGTCGGAGTCCCCATCCCCGTTGCCGAGGCCGGGGCTAGTCAAGCCGACGCTGGAATATCCCATTCTATATTGAGAGGTCGTTGTTGGAAATCCGGCCATGAATGCAGGCTTGTTCTGATAGATGATGAGAATACTGTGTTACTCTCCAGCACGCCCCTCACTACCTAGATCTGGTTATGATTACTTACCTTTGCTATGCCATACACTATAAGGGACGCGTGGCAATCTCTAAAGCTCGATATAATGCCGAAAGTGTTGTCCGGAACGAGGTGGACGTTTTCCTACATTTTCCAAGCGCGCCTTCGTTGGAACAAGCCTTCGAGTTGAAAATAGGTTCTTTCCCCCGCTCCTTCGGCAATTCCTGTTCGGGCATTCTTGAAACGTGCTAACCAACTTTTGGCGAGTGAATAAGGTCTGGCCGGTCCAGCAACGTAAGTCATTTTGTCAACACAGTTTGATTCGCGTCCTACGATTGGAGGTCATACGAGCTTGATCAGTCCGGCCCAAAGCTAGGCTCCCGTCCGATCTCAAGTCTCGGCGACCGGCACGCTGGTGACGACTTCTCTACTTCCCTGCTTAGAAGCAGATTCTAATGCATGCTGCAGCGTGAACTTACCATAGCTCTATCCTGCCTCGTCTTAGGTGCATGTGCATTGTGAGTCTGGCATTTTGACTCTGTCTGCTCTTGGATCATGGATGATGTTCTTTTCAATTTCTTACTATACGAATACACAGTAACGATAACACCACACCATCTTGCACTTTAACCCCCAGAGCTCCGTTATTTCATGGATCCCCTGCCTATTTTCTCCATGCTTGTTGTGCTGTAAGCTCAAGAATGATTGTGTTTGTGATTCGCAGCTGCCGCCGGCAAACTGGCTTTGAACTCTGCCGGAGTTATCGGCGTCCGCCAGCGAAAGTCGCAAGTAGGGTACTTGAGATAGAGGAGGCTATTGAAACTGGCCTCCTCCAGGTCACGACGGATGAGGTTAGTAGCGCAATGGTCCGTATGGCTATAGCTGCTTGTCCAGTTATCCATTGGCCACCCAAAGGAGACGGCTCGCTGGAACTTGCGCCAGATTAAGGCGCAGTGTGCGAGGTGCTGGCTCCAAGGCACCCAAGCCGCTGGAAGCTCGCCGCGAAGCGCGACTTCTTTCGGGATCAGGTCTGTGCCCTCCATGTTGTGCGAGAAAAGCCAACCGTCGTCGGCGTCCCATGTGTCCGCGAGCTCGTGGTCGTAACACGCCGGCGGGACCCATGCGAAGTTGTGTAGCTCGAACAAACAACCCCGCGCCCGAGCCTCGCCTGGCGTGGTCCCGCAGGACTCTATCGAACTCGACATGCTGATATTGGTGATGCTGGCTCGATGTCGGTACGAGAACAGTACTGCGCCTGACAAAACAATGAACACAGCGGCTGCTAAGAGTGATAACACGCGGCGTCTTGCGATGGCAGGCGTTCCGGCAAACTTCTTTGTTTCTTCATGGTATACAGCATGAAAAGTGACCTCGAGAGGATCATCGCAGCTGCTGCGAGAGGGTAGTTGAAAGTAGTGGGGGAACCCAAACATTGTTTGAACAACTTGAAGTTTCCAGTAGGTAGTAAATGATTGACAGTACCCTGGAAAGAATAAGCCAAGAGCAAGCCGGTAAGCCTGGAGAGGGGAGCACCCTCTATAAATAAGTATGACCCCCTTTATGGAACCGCCGGGATCGGTATGCTGGGTCGGGGGTGGGGGGTAGGACGACCGTATGCGGGCTTAAGACTTGGATAGACACAGTTGTCGTGGTATTCATTACGCTGCATCGATGGCGCACGTGCAATAGAAATGCGAGTATCAATGTAAGTGAAGTTATGTTATCATCTAGCACGATTAAGAGTATGATGACTAACTATAGCCGATCTAAGAAGCCAAAATCTGGTGCAAAATCACCTCCTCAAGGAGGAAGCGGGGGACGAAGAGAAGGTAACAAAAGGTCAACACAAGCATGTTTAGGTTTCTTTCAAGCTGCTATTACCTACACCAATCTGTTAGATCCAGAGACTGATGCTAGATATTGATTTCGTCATTGACCCTCCTTCCTTCGATCCATTCCACGACCTTGCGGTGGTCCCGACAGATGTGCGCATGTCCAAACCCATCAGTTCCTTTTTCTTCGCCCGGAACACCTCCCTCGAGCGTCATATCGGCGGTGCAGAGGATTGCCTGCCGAAGATAGTCGAAGCAGTGGTTGGTGTGCACGCTGTGGTGCCCATGAGGAATTGTATTCTCAAATCCGGTTCGCCCATTGCGAACGAGCTGGTCATATGCGTTCATGACGTAGTACTAGTAAAGTGTAGTTAGTTACTGCCAAAATAAGCTGTTTAAGAGCCGGCGTCTCTCAGTTCTGCATCTTAGCAAGCGTGGACGAGTTACGTACGAGACAGTGAAGCTGATGAGTCCATGAAACCTGGTACAGGGGCCCTAGCATCTTCTCAGGATCACTGAATGGTACGCCTAAGAACTCGTACTTTTTGTGGTCATCAACACGGACTGTTCCGCCACCGACTATTGTCTCTCTGTTAGGCGATATTCTCGTAATGTTGATGAATGTCGCTACAGACTGCTATCCCTAGATAGACAGTGAGTACTTACGTGGGAAGAGCCCTGTCCACCTGTGCCGAACAGCGAGTGATTGCTCATCCGATGTGTAGTTGCTCGTGAATTCTTCCAGTTGCGCTTCAAATCGCACAATATTATACGGCACTTCAGAGCATGGGCTTATTAGTACAAGACAGTACGGTAAGCGGCAGGACCTGGTCATAAGGAAGATCTCACGCTTTGGAACAATGCCGTTGATATCTACACCGGGAGTAGGCGTACTGTTGCCTTCTGCCCGGTTATGCATCAGCAAGAAGATGATGCACATCTGCGTTGACAGTACTACTGTCCACCGCAGATCCGGTAGGTGAGCACACATTCGACGAGCCCAAGCTGCTCTCTGTTGTCCTCCCCTGTATTTTTCCAAGCTGCACTCTGGCAGCATTGGTGCGGATTCTCTGTCACAATGAATCGCCATGTCGGAATTGGACGAATGTTCCAAGAGCCCCAAGTGAATGGGAACAATCAAATCTGAGGCAGAGGTCGGTCCTACATTAAAACCCACAATGACCAACAATGTCAAATGGGTGGCAACGTCACTTCTTGGGGACGGATACAGAGCCCGGTAACACAATCTGAAGCCCCAACTTTCTTCAAGCGTCCGACAATCGATATAGTCTTATGAAAAAGAAAAGAAAAAAAGTCCGGTGCGGAAAGTTTGTCACGGCGGAAAGCATACTTCATCGCTTCCCCTCCTACCGACTCGCGTAGCTCCGGCACTTTGCAGACAAAGACTAACAAGAAGTCAGGGACAAGAAACTTTTGGGAATAGAATCTTGTGTATTGAGTACAACGTGTCATTTAATGGCATGCATTAGAGGAAATGCGGTCAAGCTACACAGCCAGTACGTGCGTCCTTGAAAACGGCAGGGCCGGGCTGTAGGAAGTGGATCTGTAAGGATAGAGAAATGCGTCAGGACGAAGCAGGGCATCGGGATCGTTTCAAAGGTTTGTAGGACTGCGTCAAAGTCTTGGAAACCCTAACCATTAGCGAAGATTATCTGCGGATTAGCATCGATGACGCTGCATCCCGTCCGTCTCTTGAACGAGATATTCTTAACTCCTGCCGTGTGCTATATCGCTACTGAACAGTGAACACCAACACGGTACTCAAAGTAATTTCACCATGTCTGTGCCTGCCAACATAAACTAGCAAAGTAATATACGACAGTCTCAATTCAGCCGTTATGTCAATGAGGCGCTCTGAAAAACGAGCACTAGGTTACTTCTATTTAAGTGAAGACTGCACATCATGATGGTAGATCAGCCTGTCATCAACCTCCTTCATTAATGATTATCATGCATCATCAAGTTATCGCCCACCATCTTCCCTTCTGTAAGCTTGCATTCACCCGTGTGCCCACCGCAGACCGTTCTCGCCGTGGCCCACTTATGCAAGGAGTCGAATCTTCTGCATGTATGAGTGTGTCTCTTCAGCGCAAAGGTATTGCTTCCGTTTTTGGAGTCGACGATATCGAACAGCATGGGGGTCATGTCCATATGGCACTGGTTGGCCTCGCGGAGGAGGTCGACGCAGTGATCTACACATTATGCGGAAAATTGCAGTTAGTGTTACACTCTTACATGCTGGAGGAACAGAACAGATGTAACAAAAGAGTATGCTGTCTTGCTATACGGTATGCTTACCAAGGTGGCGGAGCGTTCGTTGGTCTGGCGCGCCGTAGACGTGCTGATATGCTGCTCGTCGGAGATTATTCAGGCAATGAAGGTTGTGATACACTTGAAGCCTGCAAAAGCCACAACCCTAGTAAGCAAGCGCACTCTTAAAGACGGAGTCCTTTGTAAAGTACCCTGTGTAGTAACCCGTCCCGTTCCTGACCGTCAGGTTCGCGTAAGTCCCAATCTCCGCTTCAGATACTAAAATAACGTTCGCTTTTGTGGAAGAGATAGTTAGCCCATTGTTTCTGGAAACAGATACCTAGTTTACTTTGAAAGAGGGCTGGGGTGACTTGCGCGCTATCAACTCTTCCCAAGCTGCGTCTATCTCTTTTGTTGGTTCGCCAGTGTAATCTGACTGGGGAGGAATGAAATTTGAAACGTCGTCAGGTATGTCGTATTGCTGGAATCTGACCTTCTCCAGCCCGATCACAGGAAAGGCCGAATCTAGGTTTATGAACTAGATAAGCCGTTTTCGGAAGCTAAGAAACGAGAAAGAACATACGAAGCTCTGTCTCCCGCCAGCCCGTCTCGTAGGTCCCCCAGGCTTGTGTAAGAGGTTCCTTAGTCGAGTGTTGTCCGAAGAGAATTTGTAAGAGCACCATGAAGCTAGCTAGGCACAGAAAAAAGTTGGCTGATGCCCAGATCTGAAGTCGTTTGTTGCCAATCCTGCGCTGCATTGCACAAACACACTGCAGTTCGGGTGGGTGCAGCTTCAAGCCCGAAGGATTCTCACGCAGCAGCCAAAGATTTTGCTCCTGCAGGTCTTGGGCGTCTGCATTCACCCTTTCAGGCTTTGAAATAAAATTACGCACGAAGGCCATAGGATGCAATCAAGAAAAGATATAACTATGTAAGTAAAGATGAAGTTGTATTCACGTGTTGCTGTGTTGCTGTGTTGCATAGGGTAGCGCGGATGGCAGAGAGTAGGTTAGCCAGTTGGGCACTTGCAAGAAGACGTGAGAGGCGACACTGAGAAATTGTAAGGCTCTGTTTGCCAATGTCAGAAAAGAATTAGGAAACTGATTTCATGCTGACTGTTTCTCGTATACTGTGAGTTCTCTATCCCTCCCAGGTTTGAGCCTTAGGCTGCATATTCGGCGATTTGTGTCAGTTGAGGGCCTTCGGACAATCAAACCCAGCTGATTAGAGCCTGTGACTGGGTAACGGATATTAAAGCCGGGTGTGAATTAAATCCCCGTTTACTATTAAAGTTTTGCGGAAACAAGAAAACTCAATGTACTTCCAGTAAACATAGACCTTAATAAGCTTTTAGAAACCAAAAGTTCGGAAGTATTCTCTGCAACACAAATGCCCTCGGGTGAGAGAATAAACAAGTTTAGACTAGGCAGAAGCTTAATTCCAAACTTTTCCGGGCTCAATCTCTGAATGGTCATTTCGACTCGTGGCTTGGACGGAAACGACATCGGTATTCGAGACTGCGTGTGTAGTTCTACTGCCCAACCATAGCATACAACACAGAACTAGGCCGAGGCTTTGAGGTTTGTAATTTTCCTTCAAGCGCACAGGATCATACGAAGGTGATCAAGAACATGAACTCGCTTTGTATAAAAAAGGCAGGATGTCCTAATCCACAACCCCTTTACTCCTTCATCTACAAGCGCTCAACACAATAAATAACAGAGTATTAAACATACTTCAAGTATAAACAATCCTACTCAGGCCATTTTTTAGGTAACCACTTCGTCTTAGCCAAGATGGTCTGCATCACTCGTATCACTGCCTTACTAGCCCTCTCCCTCGGGGCGGCTGCAGGTTAGTGACGTCCACTCCCCAACCGCAGGAAGCGGATTTCATTGATTAGTCAAGGGAATATAACGCTAATATGCGTTCCATGCAGCTGCCGTCACTCCCGATGAAGCCGCCCGGGTCCTTGAATCCCCCACGGGTAACGTCAATCTCCAGTTGCATGTGACGCGGGACGCTATCCTTGCGGCCATGGCCAGAAATGAGCCTCTGGTTGGCACCGTCAGCAAAGACGGCGATAGCTTCAATGCCTATGAGAAAGCAACGGCGGAGGATAAGCTCCTTTTGACCGTTAATGTTAAGGATGCCAAGGTCACTCCAGCAAACAACATTAAGGCTCGCGAGCCTGTTGAGTGGTTCCTCTTCAAATGATCTCTTCGATGGAGATAAGCTGCCGGTGACTCTAAGAGCAGGACGCCCAAGAGATGGAACAAAGAGGAGTTTCTTGGATTTGTGCAAGTGCGATCTGCCTAGAAAATCTGCAGGCAAAGTGTGAAGCAAGGCTTGGTTTTGTTGAGCCTAGAAGAAGGAAGCGATATCGGGCCCATGGTTGCATGTACGCATACCTGACACATTTCACAATGCAGGGAAACTCGGGTCTCTCTTATAGGAGCTTCTCAGCATTAACGTACCGCTTGTACCTATCTTTCTAGTGCCTTTTCATACGGTCCATCATGTCCCAGGTGCTGTGAATATTCAAATCTATCCCCTCTAGTAATGAATGATCTTGTAGAACAACCGTTGTGCTACCCGTAGATCTCAGAGAGGGCCGCCACATCGAGGTTACCAAAATACCTATCGCCACCAAAATAGTGTGGTCATTACTAATAGGATACTTTTACGACTTCAGATTAGAATGCCTTAGAATTTTAGTCTTAGTTTCGACTACTTAGTCTCTGCTGATGATTCGACAACAGGATTAATACTAACAGTGCACCGTGAGATCACTCTGTAAGGCCTATAATAGCGTATATATTTCACAGTGTAAGTCTAAGCCGAGCTTTGAACTTGAGCTTTAGCTGATAAACTCGGCTCCTTAAGGAATCGGTTTCTATTCCTGGCTCGCAGCAAAAGCCCCCATCCCCTGTCAGCAGTTCCGAACATATCGCCGCGAGCAATAAGTAAGTCTTGGTTACCAGCTCGCGCGGCATCAACTCTAAAAAATCAGGGGTTAGCCCTGGTTCTAGAGACTGCTGGCAATTCGCTCGCGGCAACACTGGATCTTGGGTTTGCGGCGTAAGGTGTATGCCGCCGCTTTTTGGTGTCGTTAGGTCCTTTTGGGAAACAGGTTCCGTGACATATTTGTCTATTTGATACAAGAAAGCATGAAGGAGCAAGAACGGAAGACCGTCATGCTCATCCTTGCACATAATGAGCAACTCGAACGCGCTGTTGGCTATGTGAAGAACCTCCTCTTCGGCGCTTGGTTGAAAATCAGGATGTTGCATCTTCCGGACCACGGCCGCTTTTAGGCTCAACGCGGAACGAAGGAGGACTTCGGTGCAGTCGCATGATGGGTCGGCTACGGCGTCAATCACAATACAATCAGGCGAGAAGAGTGCTACGGGGCCGCAATTAGCACACTATGATCTGACAACGCCCATAGGACGCAGCCGAAGGTAGGGAGTCCAGTTACCGGAAGAGTCATTGAGCGAGATTGTTTTGGGGATTTGTATGGACAAATCTTCTGTATTACTTAGGCTCTCGTAGTTGCCGGGTGGTGGGCAGATTTTGGAGCTGATTGACGCTGCTCGGCGAGGACGACCGGCTGGTCGACTCAGGCTGTAGGTGCACTGCAGTCCTGAAAAGTTACACCTCTCACAGGCTGGCTTCTGTCTTGAGCACCGGAGCTTCCGCCGATAGCACTGATCGCAGGCGCTGATATGCTGCTGTGGTGATAGGGACGGAAGTTCCGGCAACCACTCTGGACCCATCACCAGTTCTAGTTCCAAATCCATATCCTAATGAGACAAAATACGTTTACAAAGCCCCTTGCTAGCTATTAACTGATGGAGGTTGTAACAGGAATCTCTATATTTATATTAACAGCATTGCCAGCTGAAAAGTACAACTCACTCGCTCGCCTTTCCCAGGTGCCTGTTTACATCCCAAACTCACGGCTAGACGCACACCCCTGAGCTCGAGGCTTGGTGAAACATCTTGAGTAGAGGCTATGCTACTTGATGACTCGTTTATGATTACGAACATGAATATCGTTATCCATGAGACAACTTGAGCCTAAGAGCGTCGCTAACTTGAACACTAAAATTGTACTCACAGCTTAACAACCGGGCTTCAGGCCGCGGCCGTTGCTATTTTTCCTTTGTAACTACTGTACCCTCCCAAAATCTACTAGATTCCGAGGGACTATCGCTCAGTGGTCGTCTCCTATTAGGGTGATCCTAGATGATAGCTCCATAGTCGAGATGGAACCGGCTCGCTAGACCCGACTCAAAATTAGAGTTACCATTCCTCCACCCAATCTCATGCGTGGTCTTAATATCCCACCGGATATCTTGCCGTTCTGCCGGATGCCACAAAAGTCAGCTTAGACCGATAAATTATTGATAGAAAGAGGAACTTGAGGGATTGTTGATCTTTAAGTAGTGTGACGGGCCAGGCCCATATTCAAGGCTTTGCTGAACATTGCGGTTAGGTGTTACAATCTGATGGCGTTGGGATGCGCCAGGCGGGATCATGACTAGATGATGTAGTAAAGGGGACAATGAGACAAGGTTCTCATTACCGGCGCTTTTGCATTGTGGCGTGGTTGGTTGTCCCGAGCTGCTCGTGACAGTCTAGCAGTATTTAGCTTTTGCGTAAGGTCTTTAGAGAACTTTAGTTGAAGCTATCTTCGGCTTAAGGAATTGAAACCATCGCTAGTGCGTCAATCACACTTTGGTAGTAGGTTCCTGGTAGCCATCGCTGTGTGGATCAAGCTGCAAGGTTTTCACGACCTTGGTGGTAAGCTTGTTGTCACAAACCATTGTAAGCTCTATAGTCCATAACTGCTTCCACGTGTATTTTCAAGTGTCCATGTAGTATTTAGCCAGTCTTCGGCTTGATCTTGACCAGAGTAAGGTCAACCTTGCATACTCACGAATAGCTTGACCTACCTTTGCCTGTCCCGTTCCTTGGTCCTTGTCACTCCAGTTCTGCTTCATTGCTTTTATCGTGTGCTTCACTGTCTGACCGCGTCTTTTTGCGGCGCCGCCGTGCTATGTGCCTGGCACACATACGCAGTCCATTCCGCCTGTCGGATCCGAAACGGCTGCAAGAAGAACTGTGTCAAAAACAAACATTACAATATAGAGAATTAATATCTCTAGATTTTGAAGGAACCTATAACCTAACTAGGTTTACAAATTCTATGCGCTGCTCCGATCGTAGTCTCAACCCTTTGCTAAGCCAATTACGACTCTAGTACTGTGCAATTACCTGCTCATCTTCCAGATGTGGCCGCTCCGTTCAGAGTTAAGGCGCCTCCTCGGGCAGTTGGGCTGTTTGCAGTACCCAAGTGAGACTCTGACATGCCCTGATTGCCAGGGTCCGTCTTTGAGTGACCCCAACTGCGGGGCTGAAGCGGGGAGGGGGGGGGGGCATTCCAACGCTTCCATCCCTGATGTTAACCGCCATATGTTGTCGATAAAGACACTGCGTAATTCAGCTAATCAGAATATGGATGTTTCAGATTGTTACTAGGTCATAGATCACTGTGACTTTCAGCTCATTTTGTGAAGAAAGGGCTGTTCTGGAGACGCTAATTGTTTTATTGCCATGTGGTAGTTCAAGACATGGGGGGGAGGGGGGGTTCCTGGGAGATAAAGGACACCTCCTATCCAAACATCGGATCTCTAAAATGAACAGCGTATCTATATCAGAGTAGCTCTATGGCTACCAGTGGGCTATTAGTAATTGAGAATATAGTGACTGTGTAGTAGTAAAAGCAGAGGATGTGAAGATATATAGGTTATTATTAGTTGAATCCTAGAGATACGCTAGCAATGAGCTGAATATAAGGACGTAATTTAGGTGTTAGCTTGGTATAGTTGTAGATACAGCGAGTGACGGAAGTAGACTAAAGCGTGCCTGTCGCTAGCACTCTTATAGTCATGTGTTATTTTCAAACACCACTAGCTCAAGATTGCATGTGGGATCGGTGTGGCACAATTGTTCATAGGGCTTAGTTAACCTAGCTGATAACCATAGGTGTATCAGTTAAAGGCGATTAGGACAAGCTAGATGCTATGCTAAAGCCCTCCGCCATACACTTATACTTTAGCAAGTCATCCGACAGGAGCAAGATGCGATCGCTATATTTATTATGGGTCCCGGGCATTATCTCGAGGTATCTTGTTTGTCGGAGAAGGTCATTCCACGAGTATGTTGGCGAAACGAACATGTTGAGAGATCAGAGGCTTCCTCTAGCCTCGCTTATAACAAGAGCGGCTGTGACTCTTAAATCACGAGACGCGAGAGCTTTTGTCAATTAAAGGAGCACATAGGTGAAAAAACACAATTATGTCAGTGGTAGGGAGTTACAACGGGACGACACGATAAGACTGGCAAGAACAGTCTGGATAGGTATTCCATTAACTGCAAATGAACGTCAGTATGTCGCAAGAGTTCGGAGTAAGAGCCAATTGATGTCAGAGTGTAACATTATAAGCTCCGCAAAATTGAGCTTTTATGCACATGATTAGGTGGGTGATGTTTATAGTCAATTAGGTAAGCAGCGTAGTAGGCGTATAACGAAGCAACTTCTTCACAGGATGGACACACATTACCCGACAATTGTTTAATAAGGCATGCGTGATGACAAATGTAGGGAAATACAAGCGTGCAAAGTCAAGAAAGCTGCCACCGACAGCCTGCATTAGATACTTTAGCAATAGAACCCCGGTAACTCACATAGGATCCACAACCCATTGACGAGCCAATTGACATCAACGAGGGACGTCACAATTGATACGTAACGCCATAGAACTGGCGATTGGAACGAACCAGCTGAAAGTGCTGGCTTGATCTATGAGATACACTGTCGATAGAAGAACAAGTCAATCATGTGTCCATTATAATCTTTACCCTCTTGTAAAAGAAAGTTGAATACTAGAAACGCTCAAAGCTAGGGGGCGCATCATATTCGGCAGGGTACATAGATCGGCATAAAGCTTACAGAAATATGTAACAATAAGAGCGCTCGGGAACTCTTTTGCCGTTTTGACACCGGCGTTGCGCGAGACGAAAGTTTACAGAAAGTGGGCCATAAGGAGGTGATTATCGTTGATAACACAGGCATCAGCTGGCAAATAAAACTACTCATGGTTTCACTCAAAGCAACTCCACGGCCGATTTGGTCAACGCGACTCATTAAATACATGCATGGCTTTCTGTCAGCTAACTCAGTTCATGATTCGAACTGGTTGCTTGCTCTAATTGAAACGCTAAATCATTTAACCCTGTTATATTTGTCCTCATGCAGGTTCTTCTAATTGATAAGTATCTTTCTTGATTAACTAAAGCGACAGGTATTTAGAGCCAAGGCAGGCTGCAGTGTCGGAAATCCAGTCACTTACATACAGGTACTGCGTTTACCAATCTATCAACGCGACATTTTCTCCAGCTAAGCAACGGTTTAGTTCTCTCCTTGCCGATACAATGCGTCTTATTAGTACTATATCCATTGCTACTATCTGCCTGTCTGTGGGTACAAAAGGGCAAGTTTATCCTATGTCTGCTTCAATTTCCCGTTTGTTTGTACAAACCATCCTAACTTATGATTTCTCCTCGATGTAGACAAGATTATGGTACATTCTTTTGCCAAACCATTGATGGAAAGTTAGCTCCGAGCAATAATTTCTGCAGTGCTGCCAAGGGTGCAGTGCTTCCGTCCGTAGGGGTAAGTGCCTTTGTACAAATCTCTAGACGCATCAACTAAATCTTTACCTGGAAAGAATTGCTGTATTGCTTTATCAGACTTTGACACCATTCAATCTCTTTCAAGAGGCTGTGCCGCTAATGGATTAACACTTGGGCAGCGCCAGACTCCTTGCGACCCGTAAATAGCAAGCATAGTTCTAGTTAATATTTAGTTGAAATTAACCGATATGCTCAGTTTTCGTCGTTCTTGGCTTCAACAAGCCACTCTTCTAAGGCCTACCCTCTGACAAGCTCCCTTGGCTTGCACCCACCGGCACCAGCTCGAAGCAAGATTCTTTCTTTTTGAATCATGAGAAGACTCTCGGGCGATTCAAAGATGGCGAATACACGACTTTAGCATATGAGGACGTCAACAACTTGGTCTAGTGACTTCGACATCTAAGCGCCACTCCGAAAGTAGAACAACCAGGGTAAAGACCTTAAAGATCTCAACATCGCCATCGACGACATTGGTAATTAAGAAAGAGAAAAAAAGATTCATGACATTAATCTACTCATGTATCTTGGACCGAACCGTAGGCTGCGAGCTTCTAAGCGGAAGGTAGTATCTGAGGTTTCCCCGCAATACTGGCAAACTTTGGCACACGACGAGGATATACCAGTCGCTGCTGGTAAGATTGTCAGGATGGAAGTTTGGCCTTGGCCTATTGCTGACCATTTCAACGTCGTGGAGCCGTTATTTATGAATTTACCGGATGCGCAACCTAAGGCGCAACCTTCTTCGGCTCCTGGGCTAAAATCTCGAATTCAGGAAGCGTCAAATTTTGTCAACTAGTCAGGGGTTTAATTACCTTGACATGAATACTATAGCAGACTGAAAGTATCTGGTTTAAATAGTTCTTACTCATTCTTTCAGGCGCTCACATTGAGGCGAAAAACCAAGAAGCTCGAAGAATCATTCTAGAGGCCTGATCTTCCTATTTTTATCTTCGTCCGAAAGATTTCGTTTAGCTTTTCTCAAAAATCAAGGCCCGTATTGGTTGTTCTAATAAACTCGGCCAGACCATCCTCGCCGCCTTTATTTCTGTACCACCTCTACAGTTAGGTCAGTGGGCCAGAACGGCTCATCAACACCATTACCCCTCGTGCCCACATTATATCTCATTTCAACAGCGTTGTTGTGGAACTGCAAAACCGGCTTGACAACCCAAAATGTGCCATCTAATGCTTTCGAGGTACGCATTTCAAAAAAATGTGGCTGGAAGAGTGTTTCAGAGTCATGCTCCTGAAGGAGCTTGGACATGATGGGACGGTGTGGGCCATTGTATGGAAGTGGCGGAAGACAGGTGAACCATGGCGTTCCCAGACTTCCTTCCACACGGGTTCAGGATACATGCCGCATGAGCGTATGAGCCACTGTGAATAGTAATTAAGAGAAATCTGTGCAGTTATTTTCAGTCAGCCAAATACTTTCAGGGTCGAGAAGAACATTTAGGGAGCCACAACTCACGTCAACACCGTAATTGCCACCGTGCTCAGCGCGTCTCATCAATGCGTCAAGAACAGCTGTGCTGCCGCACACGCCAGCGCTTTTGCCTGAATTAGCTTGTCACTTTGGACGCATAAGAAATCGAGGAACATACCAGTAGTCGGAGTTTGGGAAGACGGGAGTGACCGCCTCGTCGAGTCCCATAGCCTTTCCATAAGCTAACGAAACACCGCAGCACTAGATTTCGTGTGTTAGTAAGATCTCCCCAAAACCCCCAAAGGTCTTATGCTCACAGCGTCACTGATTTGCTGCCATCCACCTCGCTTCTGCCAAGGTCCATGCCATCCGTAGCAGTTCTCCCGCAGGTGAATAATGCCACGTTGACGGTCCTTGACCAAGTCGAAGATGTCTTGTCGACTGAAGCCATGTTTATCCATGGAGCCAGGCCTGTACCCGTCTACAACGACGTCAGCATCCCGAATGAGAGCCCTCAGTTTCTCCTTATCCTCGTCTCTCGTCAAGTCCAGGTGGCAGTTCCATTTGCCCCAGTTGAGGTCCGGGTGCAGAGAAGACATGTCCGTGATGTTGGCCGATGTGACGCGCATGACGCTCGCGCCCATTTCCGCCAGGTCACGGGAGACGACGGGCGCTGCGATGATGCGGGTCAGGTCGACGATCTTCAAACCAGCGAGGGGCCGTTTAGTTGAAGAGGGGAGATTGTTGTTTTCGGGCCACCAGGAAGCGGGCTGCGGAGATTTATCGTCTCTCTTGATCTCGAAGAGCCCGACCCTACTGTTCGCCTGGCCATGCTCGCTCGCGAAGTACTCATCCGATGACCAAGCAACTGTTCCAGACTGCTTGGCCTTCTCGTTCAAGAGCTCATCGAGATATTTTGAATCCATTTGTGAGATAACATTTTGGATCCTTTCGAATACAGTCTCGTAGCTGTCGTCTGCCGGGCCGTCCTCGGGCAAGCCCAGTGCCTTTAGGGTAGGATCAGGGTTTATGCCTCCTGTTGTGTCGCAAACACATTAGTAAAACTAGAAGGGGTAAATAGTCTACATGGGATAAGACTTGCCGTGTACTTCGTAGCATCTCCCATCTTTCGTTTTATACATGTTGGTGACAAGAGCTCTGTGAAGGTTTGCAGCGGTTCTGTGCTTATCTGTTTCGGGGAACATTTTCATTGCCTCCGGCACGAAGTTCATGAGCGCCATTGGCGTGAACTTCCCATCTTTACCGATGAGTTGGGCAATCAATGGCGAAAAATAAAACAAGCTCGCGTGGTCACTGTTTCGAGTTAGCTTCTTCTGGCTTTAATTACCAGAGACTTTTCCAGATTCAGGGGTATGAAGACACGACCCCGTGCCTCCGATGGCGTTCTCAGATTGAAAGCCTACTTACGTGTTGATAGTGACATCCACCGGCTCTGCCTTGTACTTCTTCTGTAGTAGGCGATTGACCATAGTTGCCTCCAGCGCTTTCAAGGCCGAAATACTCTCTGCGAATTTCCAATTGATCGGGACACTTGGCTTAGGCGAACCCTCGAATTTGACATGTTGGCTGAGACTCTTGAGGTCGCTTGGCAAATCCTTCATTAGAGGATTGCTTAGGATCCCGTGTTGAAAGACAGCCTCAGCCTCTTGAGGAATTGAATATTCTCCGTGAGAACCCATGATGTCTTCGACTGCGATTATTAATTATTGACAGACGGAAAAGTAAGACTAGTTGACCACGGTACTAAGTCACAAACTGAGATGGATCGTTCAAGATAACAAAGCCAAGGGCCCTCGGCAAATATAAGTTCTAGGTGTAGGTACTCTCAGGCTGTGGAAGGGGTTTCAAAGAACTCAGGACGTCTCGAATACCCCCGTATTCGTCATAGTTCGCCCTGCTGTCAACTTGAACGAATTGACAACAGACCTCACAGACCTCGTCTCATCACCAAAAGAGCTATGTCTGCCAATTGAGCGAGTCGCACGAGAACGCTCACTTTTGCATCTCATCTTCGGCCATTTTCTCAAACAGCTGGGTGATGGTCCATGCTTTCTAAGTTTGACGTCAGAAAACAACGGAGGGCAAACGGATGGGGAGAACTGTGGTACACAGAGCACTAACACCTTCAGCAAGTCAGAAATCGTACAGGCGGTCCAGTCATTTCCCATTGCTGAGTTTACCTATCACTTTTCAATTTTCTCAATCGACAGAGATGTGTTTTTAACTCTTTCTGCTTGAAATAAGCAGTATGGTTAGCCTTCGGACGATGCGTGACCGCTGGTGTGTCTATGCTTCGTGGTAGAGTGGTGTGTGTGTCCACTTTTCTCTAACCTCCTCGGAGGGCTTCTCTAGGTAGATCATAGTTCCCAAAATACTCTTTTAGATTCTGAGTTCAACCGGACACGCATACGTTGCGTGCATCTTGGAGCAACTCAATCCAGTCGTCTTGTAGCTTCAGCTAATGCTTTTAGATTTGTGGCTCGATCTCGATGAGATTAATGACCGCTTCAAAGGTTCCGCGAGTAGGTGAGCAGAGCGGAGTGACTTTGACCAGCATCTAATTGTTCTTCCGTGGTCCGATTACCAATTGACCTGGAACGCCAATCAGGTTTATGGTGAGGATGTATAAGGCAGGGCAAAGGATTACTTCCCTTCACTACCAAGCACGACGTGCCACGATCTTCTTGCCAGAGTTGCAGAGTTTCAGGCGGATCTCTGTTGGAAAACTCCGGTAATGATCTTGTGCTGACCAAAGCGACAGCATGCTGAGGTCCATCTTGTCCCTCAAATTATATCATAGTCTCCTACTCGAGAAGATTGTAAGGCGTATTGCTCTACGCGACGACTTAAATCTCCTGCGCTAAACTCCTTTTTGAACGTCATATCTGCCTTTCGACCCGCTCATATGGTGCTACTTGATCCGGTTTTGCCCCATATGTCCTTTATATCTATGCGGGCGAAGTACCGGGTCACTAAGTAATTCTTCCCGTTTGCCGTGGCTCACTTCAAGGATTGCTAGACCATCATCAGTGTTAGCATCGACGCCCGTATGAGCGATTAGCAGAATAAGTTTCATTCGAAGCACATGATTGTGTAGCCCAAGGCCAATTTAATTCCTGTCGGCTTTCCTGATTTGTATTGCATTAGCTGCACCAGGATGATATGGACGACACGTGTAGATAAATCCCTATTAACCCTGGCGACCGTATAACATGCCATCTTTCGAAAGGCGTGGTTTTTTACTGGCCCACTCGCCATCAACCCCACCTCGCGTTATCTACAGGGCTTACAGGTTCTATCTAGTTGTCAGTGCGATTGCGAATCGGGAGGTGTATGTCTACCATCAGTCTCTAGTCGCAATTCCATAAAGACCGCGATCCTTGGAACTCGAAAGAAACATTTGTGCTTCCGCTACCTCAGTTTCCATTTTTCAAAACACCGTTGCCACGAGTTCTACCCATGTCTGAGGTACGTGCCCCGTCACCTGTCGACACGGTCCTCAATGCGATTGGCAATACGCCGTGCGTGCGCCTCCGACGTGTGGTTCCAGAAGGTTGCGCCGACGTGTACGTCAAACTCGAATCTCTCAATCCCACAGGATCATATAAAGACCGTCTGGCGAAAGCAATCGTCGAAGAAGCAGAACGCAGGGGAGATATACAACCAGGTTCGACCATCGTTGAGGCTACCGGCGGCAGCACTGGGTCATCCCTTGCCTTCGTATGCAGCCTCAAGGGTTACAAGTTCATTGCAGTCTGCTCTGACGCATTCGCGAAAGAGAAGTTGCGGACCATGGCTGCATTCGGCGCCGAGGTCGAGAACGTCCATAGCCCCACTGGCAAGATCACGCCGGGTCTTTTTGCTTCCGTCGTGAAACGAGCCAAGACTATCCTAGAGGAGAACAAGGAATATTATGCTGCAGACCAATTCAACAACAAGGACTGCATTCTGGGCTACAAGAAGCTTGGCGAAGAACTCGTTGTTCAATTCCCTCAGGGAATTGACGCGTTTTGTGGTGCCGTCGGAGGAGCTGGTATGGTCATGGGCACTTCAAAGGTTCTTAAGGCTGCTCGCCCCGATACTCGAGTAGTCGTTCTTGAGCCGGAGTCAGCACCGCTTCTCACCCAAGGGAAAGGAGGCACTCACGGCATTGAAGGAATCGGACCCGGATTTGTGCCGCCTTTGCTCGACAGCGCACTGTACGACGAGATTCGTGCATATCCCGAAGAGGAGGCGCGGGAGATGTGTCGGAGATTGGCGAAAGAAGAGGGCATTTTGGCGGGCACTTCGACGGGACTCAATGTTGTCGCTGCTCTCGCCCTCGCAAAGGAACTGGGTCCTGGAAAGGTGGTTGTTACAGTTGTGTGCGACACTGGCCTCAAATACACGAGCGGAAATTTGTACGAGTAGAGTTGAACACGGGAGTTATCATAATATCTTGGACGTGCTTCGTGTAATAAATTAGTCCATTCTTAAGATACGACAGGGGATCTCCTTGAACCGTGTAGCTACTTAGGGACACATCTGTAGTAAAGATGACCAAACTTCATTGAAATGATCCTCACTTGCCTAATATCGGCTTGACGACCAGCTTCTAGCTAGGTAAGTAATTATTCAACCTCATTCCTAATTGTTGGGAAGCGGGACTTGTGAGATTTCTCATGATTTAGATCGAACTCCACGTTAACGTCAATTATTGACTCAACATCCCCAAGTATCCTCTGATCGGCAGTCAACATCATCAGCACAAAGTAGTTGCCAGAGACATGAACTTGTTGCACGGTTCAGAGCCGTGAGCCCCTAAGAATACTCGGAAGCTCATGGCTTATGTAGATAGAACGTCAAAAACAACATGCCAAGTGAAAAGGCCAAGAAACCTGGTGTACAATGGAAGCATATCCTCAATTCTCTCCATGTTTACCCATAGTCGCGTAAATGATTGGACGAAACACCTATATGTATGCTAACTATTGGCTGAGCAAGTTTCCAAAATTGGGACAGTCTCCGCTTTTGCTGAAGCTTGACCCTTGAGCACCAACAACTTGCTTCACTGGGTCTTGAATCGTCATCAGAACTAAGTTTCACTGAGCTCTCCCCTTGGATAAGTGACCCTCTGCAACCTTGCCAAACGACGGTAACCGTTAGTAAGTTAACCCTTGATAGGTGTATAGAGCTTTGACATCAACGTCTTCAGGTTCTCATGATACTTGAGGAGGAATTGCTTTCAACAAAGAGCAGATCCGGGACAATGTTCGCGGAATCCGCCGAGCTATTTTGTTGGGGTTTAGGGCACCGAGGATCACAAGCCAACACTTTGCAAGCGAGAAGAGCTTAAGCTCCACATCGCTGCATCTACACCCGGCGGCTAGATCGCACCACCTTTCCGAATGTCGGTTCGCGCCTATCGTTTCGTTTCTTTTCACGATGACCCTCCCCTACCGGTACTCTCCTCTCCCCTCTTAAGCTCTCCACCGATGCTTTCCACCAATCCCTCACGATCCTGGGGTCGCATTCGGTTAGCCGACGTTATAGGAGCTAGCCAAGCTCACCTAGACCAATCTGGATGTGCGCGCATATGCGTGTCTAACCGACGGTTAATCAATACGGCGCGCTGCTCTCCGTCGAACTGCTGCTTCGACTGTACCCTTTTGGGTACACTACATGAAGCATGTAGGGGGAGCAAGAGATCGACCAAATCCCGAGGTGGTGAGGCGGGAAACCCTGAAGCTTCAAAACCCCTCACCCCTCATTATCGACATCCCGAAGCTAACGATCCGTTTGGAGTCATACCTTTTGTCTATCGTTCATTCAAAGGTCGACAAACCACGGCGGGGTTTGAGACGATCAGAACCGTAACATTGGACTATTGAGAAAGCCAATTCCTGACTCCAAGTACTGCTGGCCTCTTTTCCAAGCACCACTACCCCTCAATTATCAAGGTTTCAGCGACAGCCGTCGCTGTGAATAAATATTAAAGCCAACGCCATGGCTATCGCCAGAGCCGCTGCTCTTCGAGGCTTGCGTCGAGTACCCCTCGAACGGCCCTCTCTTTGCTCAAACACCACTCACAAACAGCTCCCGCTTGTATCACGAGCATGTATGTCCTCGGTCGCGGAAGCCGTCGGCGTCGCGCCGGCTCCCCCGCCGCCAGCTGAAGGTCCGAGCCTGGCCGCGACACAACGAGCCATTGAAGCCAACAAGATATTGCAGAAAGCTGCCAGTGCAACTACCGTCAGGCACGACTGGACGAAAGAGGAGATATCTGCCATCTACTACCAGCCGCTGATGGAGCTGGCTTTCCAAGCTGTACGTCTCCAACTCAAGGAAAGAACCTCAAGCATGACTAACCAGAGGTAATCGGCCAGGGCTCCGTTCATCGCCGATTCCACAACCCCGCCGAGGTCCAGCTCTGCACGCTCATGAACATCAAAACCGGCGGCTGCACAGAAGACTGCTCCTACTGCGCCCAATCGACCCGATACCAAGACGGTACCGGCCTGAAGGCTAAGAAGGTCGAGAGCGTCGAATCAGTACTCGCTGCGGCGCGCACAGCAAAGGAGAACGGCAGTACGAGGTTCTGCATGGGCGCCGCGTGGAGGGACATGCGCGGTCGCAAGAACAGCTTGAAGAACATCAAGGCCATGGTCAGCGGCGTGCGCGGGATGGGCATGGAGGTCTGCGTCACGCTTGGGATGATCGACGAGCAGCAGGCCAAGGAGCTCAAGGAGGCCGGCCTGACGGCGTACAACCACAACGTCGACACCAGCCGCGAATTCTATCCGTCTGTCATCTCGACCCGCAGCTACGATGAGCGTCTGAAGACTCTGAGCCACGTTCGCGATGCCGGTATCAATGTCTGCTCTGGTGGTATCCTTGGGCTGGGCGAGTCGTCGGACGACCGCGTTGGCCTGCTGCACACTGTCTCTACACTGCCTTCGCACCCCGAGAGCTTCCCTGTAAACGCGCTTGTGCCGATCAAGGGCACGCCGCTGGGCGACAGGACGCCGATCCAGTTCTCCAGCATGCTCCGGACCATCGCGACTGCTCGCATCATCATGCCTGCTACCATCATCCGCATCGCGGCGGGAAGAAAGACCATGTCGGAGGAGAAGCAGGCGCTGTGCTTCATGGCTGGCGCCAATGCTATTTTCACGGGAGAGAAGATGTTGACGACGGACTGCAACAGCTGGGACGAGGACAACGCCATGTTCGGGCGATGGGGACTGGAGCCGATGAAGAGCTTTAACAAGTCGGCAACGCCTGTTGATGAGGTTGGATTTTAAGAAAGAGGGAATATGACATGGACCGTATTTGAGCGAATTGCATATGGACCTATCTTATCTTGTCTTCAAACAGCTTGTGCCCTTGTGGTTGCGATATTTGAGTTCTATAGTCCAATGAGAAGTATCACAGGTTAGCTATTAGAAATCGACGTAAAGCCTGGCCAAACTTGTAGAAGAGGATAGGTATAGGTATGATTGCCAAGGCAATGAACCCTAGTAGCAAGTTGTTCCAGCCGAGTCCCACATATCAATACGATTCCTCTCCTGCCTATAGGCAAAACCCTCACACTATGGACCGAGTTACTGTGTTAGCCGCCATAACCGATGCGGCGTACACGGTGTATGCATCAGCAAGGTACGCCGTGATGGACACCTGCTCAAGTGTCCAGCATTCAGAGCAGTCACGGAACAGAATAGGTCCGGGATCGAACGGCTGTTCGTCTTACCAGAACTATCACGCCGCAACTCAAGGCTGCCGTCCCCACGTTGGGCATCATCCAATACATTTGTCGTTCGGTATACCATCCGTACCAGAACAGATCTATGGACCCATGGTCCGGGTGTGCGTTTGTTAGGCGCGCATTTTGGTTATGTCGCGATGCCCTCACGCGCATCGTGCAGCCTTGTGAGATTTGCGCCGGGCCCGGATTAACTATTAGTCCGGTCCCTTTGTGCGGATCTACTACACAGGATATATATTTATTTGTTTTAGACAAAGTAATCTTATATATAGAAATCTAAGCTATTTTCTTTATATCTTTTTTACTTTAAGTAGTAACTTTATAATAGTTATAAGCTTAGCTTATGTTATACCTTTAAACTACTATATTTAAAGTATATTATAGGCTAAAAAATCTCTTTTAAATAAACTATTTTTACTTTTTTAAACTAATATCTTTAATATATTTATTTTTATTAAAGCTATAAAAAAACTTAAAATATAAAATAATTAGTTTTTATAGTATATAACTTTTTAGCTTAAAGTAAAGTTAAAGTATATTTAAAAATTTATTAACTTAAATAAACTTAAATAAATAAAAAAAAGTAAATTTAAATATTTTAATAAGATTTTAGATATTTTAAGGATTTTTATTTTTAATAAATTTATTATTAATATAAATCTTAAATAAACTAATAATAAACTTCTTTTAATAATAACTAATTTAAATATTAAGGTTATATATTAAATATATATTTTAAATATTAATATAAAAAAGGTTATTTAAAAATAATAAAAAAAGGTATTTAATATAATTAATATATAAGTAAAAATATTAATTATTAAATTACTTTTTAAGTTAATTTAGATAAAAGCTTTAATATAAAACTAAATAATATTTTACTTAATATTTAAAATTCTTAAATAATAATATACTTTAAGTAACTTATTTAACTAGACTATTATTTAAAAAAAATATTTAGCTTTATTAGATTAAATAGCTTTAAGTATTAACTTATTTATTTAGTTAATAGAATAATAAAATTTTTATTTTTATATAAAAATCCTAGACCTACTAGAAGTCTAAGGTATTTTTGCTTTAAGAACTTTTCTAAGAGTAATATTATATAAAATTACTTTATTTTAAGTAACTTATAAATTTATAGAAATTATTTAAAATAAGATAATAGGCTTTTTAGTTAAAAACCTAGATAATTATATAATAATTTTAATTAGTGTTTTATAAGAAGACTTATTAGTAATAAAGTATTATAAAAGAAGGCTTAGTGTTTATATAACTTTAGTAAGTTATTTTATTATATTAACTAAAAATAATATATATTACTTTTTATTAAAGAACTTAAATAAAGTATATATTTATAGCTATTTATACTACTAGCCTTTATTTAAATATACTTATATAAAAAAAGCCTTTATTAGCTACTTACCTAGACTAGCTTTAATTACTAATAATATTGGAATAATAGCACCAGCTAGTTATATAACACGCATAACTCAGGGACATACATCATGGCAGAGGGCACAGACTAGATATTTGGCTCTTGGTTATTTATTAAGGGGATTAAAAGTATATTTATACTAAACTAACTTAGGGACATATAAGATTATATATCTTATATATAAAAGCTAAGTCTTATAGTTAAGAAAATAATTATAAAAAATATATCTTTAGTTTACTTTAACTTTAACCTAAGTATAATTATATAAACAAGTTCTCTTAAGAAAAAAAAATCTATTTAATACTAATTAATAGTTACTTAGTAATCTATATAATTACTTTATATAATTATAAATTAGTAAAAGTAAAGAAATAAGACTTAGGCTTTATAGCTAGGCTACTAGGTAATCTTATACTTTATATAAGGCAAGAAATCCTTAGGAATACCTAAAAGGTTATACTAAAAAGTCTCTTATACTAAAAAGCCTTAATCTTACCTATTATTACCTACTAAGCTAAATTAGGTAAATAAAATAAAAATAACTTTTGCTTTACTATTATATAAAATAGATTCCTATTATTACCTACTAAACTAAACTAGACAAGAATCTTTATTATATTATATATAAAATATAAAATATATGCTATAGTACTAAATAAACTAATTTTAACGTTATATAATATAAAATAACTACTAAATACAACATAGCTTCCTAAGAAGATCTAAAAAATAATCATTAAAGCTAATATAATAATATTAATAAATACTTACTAATATATAAAGAAATAAGTATAAGGAGTAAAGTCCTACTATATATATAAAAAAAAACTATAAATCCTAGACGCTAAGGAAATCTAGTTAATATTATATAAGCATTATCTAAAAAAGAGATAACTATATATATTATATATATTAACATAGAAATACTTTATTTTAAGTAATTAAAAGAAAACCTAATAATATTACTATATAAAGATTTTAATAAATAATCTACTTTCTAATAAGAAAAGGTCTATTATGTATTTAAGGCAAAGTTTATATAACTTATTAAGCTAAAAGGATTCTAATTACTATTACTAAGAATTAAGAAGTAAAATTCTTATAATTCTTATATATAAATCTCTTTATAACTTTATAACTAAAAGTCTTATAAATATATAGTTACTTTTTCTAAATTCTTCTTGAAAAATAACCTATAAAAGTATATATTACTATATATAACTATACTAATGTAAACTACTACAAACTAATATAGTCTACTATATATAAACGCATATACTTCTAAGTATTATATATGTTAGCGCTTATGCTTATCTATAGGTATATATAGGTATATATATATATATATAAGAAACTATAAGTACCTCTTAGTACTTAGATATACGCTTAGATATACACTTAGATACTATATGTATTTAAGGGACTTTTTATATAACTAAGAGATATCCCCTCTACTTAGACAGTTTTATAATAATAATAAGGAAAAACGATATTTTAACGGTTAATATATATATATATTTTTTTTGTTTACCTTTATTCTTCTCTACTTTTCTTTGTGACTATTTATAAATAACCCCTTATTATTCTTACTGGTTATAAGCCTAGCTTAGTAGAGAAGGTAACCTTTATATCTTTACTTTCCTTTATACCTTTAATTTCTTTTATACTTATACCCTTATTTTATATAATAAAAATTTAACTTTGTTAGGGGATATATTACATTAGCTAAGGGAATTTTAAGGAATATAGCTCTAAGGCAGCTATACCTTACACCTAGCAGTCTATATTCAGCAGAATAGAGGGACTAGCTTACTGGGTAAGCACTACACCTATCGCTATATTTTACGCTACTATAGCTCTAGGCAAATCATAATCCTACCCTACTGGTTAAAGGTTATTTCTAGTCTATATTTAACAAAGACTATATACCTTAAGCTAGAATTAAACCTAAGAGCTCTAATTAAGTTACTAATTTAATTAGTTAATCTAGAGGATAGCTAAACTACTAGACTAACTGCTTTACTGTCTGGTGAAAGCTTCTTTAATTAAAGGCCTATATATATCTATAACCTAAGGTAACCATGTAACACTATATTATTAATAATAACTTAACTACTTTTAAGGCCTATTTTTTAAGATAAATTTAATAGTACTATTAGAATACTAATATCTCTCTTTAATTAGCCAAAATCAACTAAAATCCTTATATTCTAATTAAATTTAAACCTAATTAATACTATGGAAAAAATCTATATACTATGCCTTTCTAGTAACCTTAACTATAATGTTTAGGTAACTAGATTTAAGGCTTTATTTATTAGTAAAGATATTAACTTTAGTCTTATAACCCCTTTAACTATACCTTTTTAATAAAAGAGTAATATAAAAGTATTAGCTTTTATAAAGCTATTTTGTAAGGATTCTCTTTTAAGGGTTATAAAAGACTTTATAATAGGATATAAAGTTTAGAAGAAACTAAAGGATCTATATAAATCTATTGGTTTTATTAACGAATATCTTATTTGTAAAGAGTTCTTTAATACTTCCTTAGAATCCTTTGGATCTATGGAAGAATACCTTAATAAGGTAAAGGAGCTTATAGATAACTTATCTTCTAAAGATATAGCTTTACTAAAATAAGTTATTATAGCTTGGGTATTAAATAGTCTAGATAATAGTTATAAAGGTTTTATAACTAATGTAACTTAAGCCTTTAGAAAGGATATAAATTCTTATACTATAGAATCTCTTTTTATAAATCTTATAGATGAAGCAAAAAGAAAAGGTTTTTCTATAGTATTATATACTTTTACTTTTAAAAAAGGAATTAAAAAGCCTTGGAAAAAGATGAAGGGTGTTTACTATATATACTATAAGTTAAAAAACCATATGGTTAAAGACTATAACTTTCTATATCCTATTAAGGCCTTTAAAGGCTGGAAAAATAAGGATAATACTAAGGAAGAAGTTTTAAGGTAATGAAGGACTAATATAAAGAGAAATAAGCTTTATAGGGCTTAAAAGGCCTTAATAGCTAAAAAAGCTATAATAGAGGAAGAAGATTTAGAAGAATTAGATAAATTAGATGTAGAAAATACGTA